GTCTTGTGACACAGAGTGGCCCCGGGGATGGACAGTCCTTGTGCTGGGCTCCTGTCTCAGCTTCACACATGCGAAGACAGTAGCTGAGATCTTTCGGGCCCCCATTTGCCATCGGTACTGTGGAAATCACCGCACATGCCCCAAGTTAGCGGAAGTGGGGGATGCCAAGGCCCGTGGGCTGTCTGTGGCACTGTGCCTGGTCAGGTCTCCCTAGGTGTCCGCCACTGTCATCAGTACGAGGGTAAGTGGCAGCTGTTGTCGCTGATTCATGATGTGGTCTTCATCACAGGGACTGCCTGCAGGGGCTGGGGATTTAGCTCCGCAGCAAAGCGCCTGCCTGGCAAGTGCAAGGTCGTGAGTTCGGTTCCCGGTACCGGAGAAAAACCAAAAAAAAAAAAAAAAAAAAAAAAACCAAACAAACAGGGACTGCCTGCACCCGAAAGCACCTGGCCCTGCTCCAGGTGGTGGGAAGTACACCCTCTGCTCCTGCCCCGGCAGGTGGGGCGGAGGGTGCAGTTAGAGCTTTAGCTCCCTGCAGTGGCCGGGAGCCAAGTGCGTGGAGCTGTCTCACCCCCTGCACAAGGAGGGAGGGACCGACGGGGGGATCCGATTCTGGGATCCACAGGCCTGACTGAAGGAGGCCCACCCTGCCGCTCACTCTCTGTGGAGCCCCAGGTGAGTGATTCAGTCCTACTGACCCCAGGCTTCCAGTTTGCGAAATAAGGTTCCCCCAGGGAACCATCACGGAATGGAGCCTGGACGAACCGGAAGGATTTGGGGATGTGAGGGGGAGGGGAGAGCCCACAAGGGGGGAAAGCTGGAGGGGGATGGAGAGCAGGTTGGGGGCGGGGATCAGAGGACCTTGGCTGCCAGACAGGGTGGGACTTTCTTGTCAGGCAGGAGGGACAGCTGCGGGTTTGGAGCCACAGGAAGCCACCTGCCCTGAACCCGCTGGCCTGAGTTAGAGACCAACCCATGATATCCCAGGTCCTGCTGTGGATTCTGGAAAGCCCGAGAGCCCACTGTCAGCCCCAGAGAAGGCAGAGGGCGAGGTCCTGTGACCGTGCCCTGTCCCCACACGCTCCTTTGGTCTCTGTGGCTTAGATAGGAATGCGGCCGGCTGGGTTGTGTTTCGCATTATTCTCTCCACATCTCTCCATGCCAAAGAAACCAGGGACAGGCAGGCAAAACCTCTGAAAAGTTCTGCCCCTGAGAATGGGCAGGGAGGGGCGACGTGAGGGAGCAGGCGGCACCTCTTGAGCTGGGGAGAAGCAGGGCATCTGGCTCCTGAGTGGTGTGTGCCAGGCAGCTGGGCAGGAGACACAAGGACAGAGGGTGGAATCTTCCTTGGCCCAAACCAGAAGGGCCCAAGTCCAAGAATTGGGGGGTCAGATGAGGTTGTGCAGCAAACCCACAGCCCAGCTATCAACCCCTGCTCCGGAGTGCTAAATAACGCCTGCATGAACTTTCACTGCAAGGTGAGGACCCCCCCACCAAGTCCATCATGAGAGGGCAGTGGGGGTGTGGCCCGTGGGAGGTGCTGGAGCCGCAAGAGCTGCAGCTGACCACACGAATCACAGGCCAGCTGAGGAGCCAGAGTCCGGGCCATGATCAGCCACAGTCAGCAGGTGCAGGGTCCCTCGTCAGAGGTCCCACAGGGCAAGAAAGAAGGGGACGCTCTGTCCCATAGCAGGAGCTGGCTTCCCTGCCTTCCAAGCCACAGAGCTGACGTGATTGAGGACAGGTTGGCAGCCAGTGTGCAGAAAGTCAGCTCTCTCTGGAGGGAGCAGGGTAGACAGGACTCTTGACTTCCAGCTCTTGGTGAGGTCACATCTTTATCACTGTGTATGTCACCGAAGCGGGCTAACTTCTCCACCCAGGAAGCCGTGGGCCATGGCGAGCCAGGTCAAACTCACCTCCTTTGAGAATCAGGGGAAGAGATCTATGTATGCTAAGAGCTTTCTGAGGAGCACAGGCTTCAGTTTGAGCAATAGCACTTGAAGTTTCTGTGTTTTGTTTCTGTGGTATTGGGGACTGAACTGGAGCCTCCATACTGAACTACTACCGTAAGTCCACAGCCCTTTTTATTTTCAAACAAGTCTTGCTGAGTTACTAGGTTGCTCGGGTTAAGCTTGAACTTGTGATCCTCCTGCCTCAGACTCTCAGAGTGCGCGCGTCAAAGGCATGCACCCACACCTGGCTGGAACACTGGCATTTAATGCAAGTTGGGAAGTTGGCAGGCGTAGTGAAAACAGGCAACTGAAGTCATTGCTTGTCCCTCCTGTCACTGAGTTCCAGGCATGTTTCAGCAGGGTTTGTGGATTTGAAGTCTGGGGAGCTGTTGGGGGGTGAGCGCTGGACTCTGGGTCGGGGGCTGCAGCACCTGAATGCAGAACCCCTAGGTATGTGATGGGGTGAACTGCCGAGCCCAGGCCTCAGGCACACGTGATTATCAGGTGGGATCTGGGACACTCTGAATGCAGGGAGTGGCCAAGGTCCGGACAATGGCAAGTGCTTCATAAACTGCAAGGTGCTGCAGGAATGTGAAGTGAGGCATGGCCTCATTGGCGGCAGGATTGGAGGGGGGCGTCCAGTGAGCCAGCTCCCCATCTTCTGACCCGGATGCTGCCGGACCCAGCAGCCAGGATGCGGACTCATGCTCCCAGCAGCGAGAGGCTCTCCTGGGAGGCAGGCAAAGCTGGGACGAGGCGAGCTGAGCCCTGGGCAGGCTTCTCTTGGGCAGAAAAGCCAGGCGGTCACAGAGCGTCTGCCCCGCACAGCCTCTGCCGGCTGCCGGTGGTGAGGTGTGGGGAAGAATGCCGGGCTTGGAGAACCAGGTTCCCACCTCAGCCCTGCTGGTCACTTGTCCTGCGACCGCGGGCAAACTCGCTGTCCCTCTGAACCTTAGTTTGAAGGCTGCGATGACCTCTGAATACTTGCTAGCTCTGAAAAGCAAATTCCTACCTCTCAAAAATAGAAAATGGATCGAATGCCTTTGTCCTTAGATTTCAGAACTTAATGCTACAGCAAGCATAAGCCAGTAGCCACTTTCCGTCCTCCTGGCCTCTCCTCTGTCCCGTGGAATGGCTCCAAGAGCCCCCACGGCCCCACACAAGCCTTCTCTGTCCCTCTGGTGCTGAATGCTCCTCTCACTCCTAACAGTGCCCCAGGCCACCCTCTGACCTCACAGGTCTTGTGTGACCTGCTGTCTTTTCCCAAGAGAATTAGGTGCAGGAAAGGAAGGGAGTCCAGTGACCGATGTCCCTAAGGCTCAGGCCCACCTGGAAGGGTCTCCTTGTACAATGCCACCCTCACGGGGGACCCGGCTTCTAGTTTAACCAAAACACCAAATGCTGGGGCCTTCCGTTCCGACAGAGTTGAGCTGTTAAGAGAAAGATAAGAGGGTCAGTGAGAATTTCCACAACTCTCCAGGCCAGGACACGTGAGTGACAGGCCACGGTATCTGATCAGAAGCCTGGGTCATTCTCTGTGATCAGCTGGTGCCAGAGCAGATTAGTCCCATGGCCTTGTGTGGCACGAGGACCCCGGAGACCAGGATCCTGGAGTGTGGGCTACAGCGCTCAGGAGGCCAGGAAATGGTCACACGGCGCCCGGCCTGATAATGACAACGGGGGTAAGTAAGCTGCTATCCCTTTGCTGCTGCCCTTCACTGCCATCTCCAAGGAAACAGACCTGAATGTGTTAGCATGACGCCCATTCTGCAGGTGGGGAAGCTGCCTGGGATTCAAGGCTCAGCCTGGCCAAGCTCACCTGCTGAGCTGCAAGACCGGGAGCTCTCACTCCAACCTCAGGGAAAGCAAAGCTAGCACAGGGCCCTGCGCAGGCCTGCAGAAAGTCACCCCGAGACAGCTCCTGACTACAAAAAGCACTGGGACCGGTGCACGAAGCCCCCAGGCCACCAGGCCGGGCAGTGCGTGCAGGCCCAGGGCGCAGTGAGCAGCTACTGTCAGCAGGCGATGGCTTGCGCTGGATTCTGAATCCTTTGGGTTTGTGCCAGCCCGGTCCCCAGTCAATGCCCTCTTGGCCATTGTGTCAATTATGGCCGATGGTTATCTTGCTTGTTTATCCAGTTGCTGTATAGATTGACTTTCTGAATGTCGGGGTCTGACTGTTTCCATAACAGGAAGCCACTGGCTGTACTACTGTATGGAGAAGCCCCAGCCTACACAATAGAATCCCAACAAAACTGTAAACCCTCATTGAATCCAGCTCTTATTGTTTCATTTATAGGCCGAATCCTGTATTTACAGTCAGAGTGGCGTGTATGTGTGTGTGTGTGTGTGTGTGTGTGTGTGTGCATGCGCATGAGCATACATGTGCATTTGCTAAGCCCAAGCCTGGCTTTTCACTTTCCATGGTGAACCTCAGCATAGACGTAGGCACCAGCATTCCCTGGACATAGCTGGATGGGTGGGGAGCAGCAGGCCCCCGTCCCTGGAAATCTTCCTCGGGGTCCTGTACAGCTGGCTTGGCAGTCAGAGAAAGCCAAGTTTGTGTTTTTATCCTGGGCCCTGGTCACAGTAGAACAAATGCTTCTGTCAGCATGGAGCCTGGGTGTCAACAGCCCTGCCGACATCAAAGAGAGCTCTGAGCTCCATCTGTCACTCATGTCTGTTACCTTTCCTGGGGGTCCTGAGCCCTGGGAGTTTTCAAGAAGCTCTCAGGGAACCAGTTAAATATCGTAGACTCTTTTCCAAATTTGTCTGCTTCTCCTCTCCCGTCCTCAGCTGCTCAAGAAACTTGGAGAAGAAAATCAACCCACACGGCGCTCGCAGAGCCTGATCTCTGTGGTGAGCCATCTACTCCTGAACAGACTTGGTGCAGCAAATTAGATGTCAGAGATGCCCAGGAAATCCAGGCGGCACAGGCCCTGGCAGGGGCCAAGCACCCAAGGCGTGCCAGGCTGAAGGCTGAGCCTATGCGGGTAGCCCCATGGGATGAGGTCAGCATGGAAAATGAGCCTGGCCCCCTGGGCGTGGTCCTGCTTCTCTGAAACCCTGAAGACATCATAAGCCAATGAATGTAGGCGTTACTGCCTGATACAACCCAGCACACCAGTCAAACACCTTGCCAACTCACCCGTAGTGGTTAGGTGGTGGTATGTAATGCGCCTTCCTTCCCAAGAGCATGGAGGGCTTTCCCCTTGTCATTCACTCTCACTGTGGGAAGGACTAGATTCTCACTTCAGATATGAATGCAGACAGCAGGGTGAGTAGTCCGAGGCCCAGGTTGCGAGGGCACCTGGCATCAGATGCTCTCTTGAGACCCTTTCTTCTCTTCACAGGGAGGTGACCGGTCTACCCAGAGAGTCTGGCAGAAGGTGGAGGGGAGAAAGAAGCAGGGTTGCTGATCTCAGAACAAGTCTGAAGAGAGTGTGGACATGGCTTTCTAGGTGAGAAGAGAGAGCTTGTGAAAGGCAGGCAAGGTACTTAGGGTCACACGAGGCCTCTGCAAGAGGCAGCCAGAAAGCCAAGGGCAGATGGGGGCATACGGACTTGGGACTTTGGTCTCAAATGGTTAAGCCTGAGTTCTCCTGGATCATCATGTATATTGTAGCCTCCAAATATCTTTAGGAGAAAATACAGGCTTCCTGGGTAAATACTTCAAGTTACACCAAGCACAGGAGTCAATAATCTTGACCTCTCTTAAATTACCTGAAGCAGGACACCCTGGAGGGATGAATGCCCTGAACTCTTGATTCTTACACTAAGCCCTGTACTCCAAAGCTTCCCACTCTGCCGGCCAAACCCTGCCCTGGTGAGATAAGTGCATAGCCACTCCACCGGACCTCAGCAGGGGAAAATGGTTTGTTTTTTGAATTATCCAGCAAACTTGAATATCTATCAGCATCAAAGAATTCTAAGGGATATATAATCAAACCTCCACTCAATGCCCAAATCTAAATACAGTTATCCCCAGTCTCCACAGGACATTAGCCAGGATCCCTCATGGATACTGAAATCCACGGATGCTAGAGTCCCTTATATAAAACGGTGGAGCCTCGACATATAGTTTATGCACACCACCCTGTAGGCTTTAGTCATCTCTAGAATGCTTACACAACTAATGCTATGTGAATAGTTGTCATACTGGATGGATAGGGAAAATGTCTCTACATGTTCAGTACATGGCAACCAACATAGGCCTGTCTGGGACCTGCAGCGGGTTGAATCCCCAGAGACTGACCCCGAGGTGTGGAAGGTTGACTGCATGTTGTGGAACTGGAAGTCTCTCTTTTGAACGAAGATGCATGGCGGTTTTCCCTTTTTCAACTTCCCTTTGAGGATTCTCGTAGACCAAGTTCCCGAAAGCAAGCTGTTGCCTGTGGGCTGCAGTTCAAGCTGTCTAGCGGTAGAGGGCACTGTTTGCCTAAAATCCAAGCGTGAACCTAGGCCTGAGAAAGACTACTCATCTACCTGGTTCTCCAGCCTCCTAAGAGCAGTGTCGCAGAGGAAAAGGCTGTGGTCTCCCAAAGAGCTCCCTACTGTACCCAGAAAGGATCCTGCTGCAGCGCTGCCCTCACACCAACCTGTACCCATTGTCTTCCACTTCCTCCCGGTCTGTTCCACCAGCTTTGAACCTCGCTTCACATCCCAGCAGATCAAATTGCTTCCCTAAGATGCCTTCCCTCTATTATTCTTGTTTACCGGGCATTTGCTGCTATGGCAACATCTTGGGGTAGAGGTCAGGGCAGGGTGGGGACAGAACAAATTGGACCTTCTTTGCACACTGGCAGCTTAAACTTGACATTGTCTGAGAGTTCAGGGTAAAGATAGACCAGTGTTTGATTCTTTATTGACTAATAAGTCATGCAGAAATCAGAATCATCCTCACTAGCCCTTCCTAGAAAAGTGGTCCCCCAAGTTCCCCTTGTCTTTAGTGTCCTTCTCTTAGCCAAGAGTTTGTGGGTAACATCAACGTTATTTGTGTTGTGGTTTGGCCTTGCTATATGTGAAGTGGTTATGGTTAAGCCTGGGGCCCCTCCTTGCTAGGCAAAGCACTCTAACAAGTCAGGTGCTCACAGGACACATGTGTTTGTGAAATTTGCAAACGGGAGATAGTGTAATCACAGCTTAGTTGGGACTGTCGTTCATTTCCACTCCAAATTTTTCTGAGTCATCCTTGCTCATTGGCTGAGTAGCACAGGCAGGGCCAAGAACATTTAAAGGATCTGGCTATGGGGATCCTGCGTTGAAGGGTGATTTAACTGGGTTCAATGGAATGTGTGTATTTCACTCGCTTCTGTGGGAATTAAACTTCGCTAACTGTCCTGGGGCAGCCATGGCTCCCAGACCTCGCGTCTGAGGATGAAGATGAAAGTGACGGTGCCTTATCTGGAACACGCTGAGGTCCTCAGCCCTGGGAGTAGGGATCAAATGGGTGAGAAACAAGATGCAAAATGTGCAAAGCCAGGAGCTTGGCCGGAGTATCTTTCTGGCTTCTGGTGATATTCGTGAAGTTTTCATCTTTGCACAATGCACTGTTGGTGCACAGCTATGGAGACAGTGAAAAGATCGGGGGCTGCTGGGGGTGGGGGCGGGGAGGGACACAGAGGACCCGTAGGGCAGTGAGACTGCTCTGCGATACTGTGGAGGCGCACACAGGTCATCGCACATTGGTCCAAACCCATAGAGCGCGCAAAGGCAAGAGAGGAGCTAGCGTGAACCGCGAACAGGTGCATCGGGACGAACCCATCCGTGCTACAGAGGCGCCGATCTGGTGGGGGTGCAGATAGTGGGTGGCTGTGTGGGGGAGGCAGAGGGCATGTGAGAAATCTCTGCACCTTCAGCTCCATTTTGCCGGGACCCGGACTGCCCTGAACGGTACAGACCACCTAGCACGCACCGCTGTATTTGGTGCAGTCTGCTTACTCCCTCCAAATGAAGATTGGTTTTGAGGCCGGTGCTGTGTTCATTCTCTTCAGGGGCCTCCACTGGACCGCTCAGGCCTGTCGGTGTGTCCACACCCTGATGGCTATTTGTTCACACTCGCAGCCAAGACAGTTTCACATTTGGCTTATAAATATCCTGAGAGCGGCAGCATGTTTATCACTTTCTGTGTTTCGTACATGGATGAGAATCCACGGCCCTCTCCTTGTCCTCCAGCGACTTCCGCGGGGGGAAGGTGTCTGTGCGGGACACCTGCTGAGCAGCGTACACGTCCATGCTGAGGTGACTGGTGCCGCCAAAGCGGGTCGCAGGAGGCGTGTGCGGCACACCCACGCGCGCAGGCAGCTGCGGAAGCTCGTCACAGAGCAGTGCAAGAGATAACGACTTCCTGCCCCAACGACAGGAGGCCTCCACACCCGTGTGGTCAGCCTGGCCTGCGGACCTGCCCTCCTGAGGACCTGAGAGACGTGACCTTCACATTGTTGTGCCGCCTTCTGGAACACAAACTCCGTGAACTTTATACTCTCTTTTCTCCAAGTTCCTGCTTGAATAGAATACGAAAAATGGAATTTTTCAGCAATAAAGATCATGAGGGTGAAGATTCAGACGTCCCCCAAAAGGTGAAGCTTTGAAGTAGAGTTGACAGCGAGTCTCAGGCAGCGGACTTCAGCGGGTCCTGGAAAGAGAGGCCCGGTCATATCCGCAGCTGCCAGCAGGGGGCGAGACACACCCGTCTGTGGGAGTGCAGTGGGTCGGCACCCTGCGTTTTCCCTTAGGCAACCCCAGCCCCTGAGGAAGGGTCCCGCTTGATGAGGCTGCAGAGACTCAGCCCTGGCTCTCAGGCCTCAGCTGAAGGACCCGGCAAGAGGCTCTGGGCAGCTCCAAGGAATGGGACAGAGCCTGGACGTGCTGACCCACCTCCTGCCCTGCCCAGGGACCCTACTGCATCCCGCACCCACTGAAATACAAGATGCCCAGTTACATTTGATTTTCAGGCAAGCGGCATGATTTTTTGGTATGTTGTGCCAAATAGCACATGGGACATAGTGTATTTTTTAAAAAACGTTCTTGATGGGAAAATTCAAACTTTATTCTAGGTAATTTTCATCCATATCAGCCAACTTTCCTGGGCTTTGGAGATGTTCTAGCTTTGTGCAGAACAAAAGTGGGCTCCTTCTCCCCACACCACCTCCCAGCCCCTGCGCCCCACGGCCTGTGGGGAGCTGCTTTCCTGGGCTGCCCCTGGCCTAATTCCTCTCTGGAAAGGGACGGGGCTGTGGGTGACGTCAGCTGCTGCTTCCCAGAGACAGCTCCCATGCGGGTCCCCTGTCTGACAGGGACAGCCTCTCAAGTGCTTTTTCTCGTTGTCTTCTTTGACCTTCTTGATGTGAGAGCAGAGGAGGGTCCTGCGACACAGAGACTCCAGCTTGTGCACGGCCTCACCTCACACAGAGACCTGGAGGTGCTGCGTGTGCCGCATCCCCGGCCCCGGCCCGTGCTTGGAGACCGTGCGCTGGCTACTCTAGCAAGCGGCCAGCCTCTGGGAAAGGCCTTCCACGGCCGATTGTGTGGCAGGACACCTGGCCGGTCTGCGGCCTAGGCGACGGCCTCGGCGACGGCCATGCTTTCCTGTGCAGCCGCTGCAGCGTGTAGGATGCTGATAAGGGAACAATGCGGCGGAGGAAAAGTGGCAGCCCTGGGACAATGAGCGGCGGCGGGGACTCTCCCAGGCTGTGCAGATCGAGGAAGGATTTGCAGGTCCCAGGGGCCAGGCTGGAGACTGCTCTGTGGCCAGCAGTTGGGGGCGCCCAGGGCTCCCCAGGAGCCGCGCCCCTCCTCTGGCGCCTGCTCATTGCCCCCAGGGCCCCTTTCTCTGCGGGTGGGACACTCACAGGCCACAAGCCACCGACCCAAGAAGGGGCCTGCGGCTTCCCTGGGGGACAGGGACAGGTGGGAAGGCAAGTGCTGCCAGGAGCACCCGAGGCCCCAGTACTCTTCAACTCTCTCCTATCCTCGACCTTGCGGGCAGCAGAGACCAGATATATATTCCAGGGCTTGGCCAAACAGGAGGCCAACTTGTAGCCATGGCTGAGAGCCCTGCCCAGAGGGGGGTCCCCAAGAGAAGCTGCCTCTGCCTCAGCCAGGACAGGCAGCTGATGACAGGGGTGTTGTGGCCACTAGTCTACGGCTCATGGATAAGTGTGGACATACAGTCAATCCTGCGGTGAGAAGTGAGGACCGCAGGAGGGTGGCACGGGACGGATGGAACGTGGAGAAAGAATACTGTCTCCCCTTTGCCCATTCCAGGCCACCAGAAAGGGCACCTGCTTACGTATGACCCAGCCCCTCCTTCCACCCAGCAGGACTTAGAGCCACCTGGGAGCTGCAAGCAGTATAACAAGAGGACCTAAGGAAGACCAGGAGGGCAAAATAGGGCCGGAAGTGAGGGGCAGGTCACAGAAGCACACGCTACGGAAGTCCAGGGCCAATGAGGCAGCCGTGACATGACGCAGTCTTCCTGAAAGAAAAACACTCGCTGTCACACACAAACACCTCCTGTCAGGAGATGAAAAAACCTCAACGTATTATTTCCGATACTAAATGCACAGAGAAGTTTTCACCCAGTGTCCTCCTGGACAGAAGTTGGCAGAGGCTGTGGATGCCTTTCCCCAGTGGTCTCACTGTGACTCAGGCAGGAAGGCAGGGCTTGCCAAAGCTGGCTGAGGGGGATAAGCGGACCTGTTCATCACAAGATCCCAGGACAGCCCCAGATAACTCCCAGGGCCCCGTGCGTAGACCTCTCGCAGGTTTCCACCAGATGTAGATGGCATGTGAGGACACAGATACCACGAAGAAACCACTCTCCGTGTCCCTTTCACGGTAGCCTGCCCTGTGTCTCCCAGAGCCAGGAAATACTTTTATTTTTGCTTTTTATCTTTTCTTCTCTTTTGGTCCCTAGCCCTTCACCCTTCACTTTTCAAATGAACTTTAGCACCATTTTTGGTTTGCCTTGTTCAATTCTTTATTCGAGGTAAGTAGGGCCTGGAATATGTTTAATGGGTGAGGCATTTCTAAAAGAGGCTACCCACTAACGTGACCACAGCCAGCAGCCCCAGGAACGTTTCTAGAAGCTTCTCAGTGTCAGGCAGGGGCTGAAGCAGAGGTAGGTCAGCAAAGGCCCTGGGTGAGCCGCTGTGTCCTGGCTGGTGGGCGCAGTTCTCTGCTGCGAGGGCATCACAGAGGGGCGGGTTACAGTGTACAGAGGCAGGGGAGGTCTGGCATTGCCCGTGTGCCCAGTCCTGGTTCCCACAGGCCTCTGCGCTCCACCATGTGCGTGGGAGTGAGATGTCTGGGAGGCCGCCCTGCCTCCCTCTGTCCCGCCTCACTGTCTCCAGACACCTCGATCTGTGCTGCAGGGTGGATTCATTTGGCCTCAGATTCATTAACTATCATGGGGATAACAGCCAGGGGACCTCCATGTTTCCAGGATGCCAAGAGCCATTGACTGAATCACACAGAAAGAAAGCCTCATGTCATCTACCAGCACAACCTTGGGGACAAGTCACGATCCCTAACACCCAGGGTACAGGGTGGGAGTCCAGCGCCTGCTCCACGGTGGGACCAGAGTTCCTTTGCATTTGATCCTCCGGCCACTGCCACCTCCTCTGGTACCCCCAAAGGCCCTGGACTCCTTCCCCTCCCCCACCCAGTCAAGGGCACAGCCCCAGAGCCCCTGTTATGGACTGTTTTGTCAGCACTTGGCGTGCAATCACGGAGGTGACACCAATTACTTGTGTCACAGCTTCTGGGGAAGACGGAGATGCATGAAAGCCGGCTCAGGGCCATCCATCAAGGCCCGAGGGCTGGGGGTCTGATGCGGTGACAGGGGATTGAGGGGGGCCACAGTCTCTCAGGACAGCTGGTTGGCAAAGTGCATTCTATCATCAGGATTGATGCTTCTGCAGGGAGTACGGCCCCGCGTGAAGGAAGCCAGGCATCCAGGTCAAAATGCCGTCCCCTGTCCCCACACCCTGGCACTGCTCCGGTCAAGCCAGACCCTTGCTGTCACCCTGACTCCCCACTTCACCCTCACCCCAGTTTGATGGGTTCTCCTTGCAGCTGAGCTTCAGGCATGTCCTCTAACTCTTAAGCTGAATGTTTTTCAAGCCAGCACGTAACTACTTTATTAGATGTTTCCTGTGATGTGTCCGAACTCCCTAGTTCCTGCTACCACTGAGGCAGACAGGTCTGAGGCCAGCGTTGACGGAGGGCAGACTTCAGCTCAGAGGAACTGGCAACCTGCCCCAAGTTGCATGTGGGTAAGTGGAGTGTGGCAGGTGGGCAAAATAGGTACTGGAGGAAGGAATGAAGTGGGGGCCCTCCAACAGACCCTCCCAGGCCTACCTCTGTGATGCTGGGGACCCTGCACCACACTGAGGCTCCCCTGCAGGAGATAGCAGCTAGGCGATTAGCTCCGCGGGTTCCATAATTGCAGGGATGCTGGACTTCCAGGGGGACGTGCAGAGGACAAAGAAGCTATCAGATCCACCCCACCCCAGCACTCACACCTTCAGCACAGGGCAACAGCCACACTGGGCATCTCTGCCTTTGAGGTGAGGAGTCCACAGTCCTCATCCATCAGGTGCGTGGGTTGGGCCTGGCGGTTCTGAGGGTCCGAGGGAGCCAGCGGGGATGGTTGTGTGGGTGCAGTCAGAGGAGCCTGTGACGGGGTGGGGCAGCCCTGAGCAGAGAGAGGGCATGTCTCTGCCTAGGGTGAAGCACACTGTGGCTGGGGAACCCCAGGTTCTACAGTGGACCACCCCGGAGTCCTCATGGAACCATGGCTGTGGCCGTTCCACCCACACGGGGATGGTGAGCAGCGCGGGGAGGTGACACACTTTTCAGAGCTGGAAGGACTTTAGAGACACCGGGTGGGGAAATGGGCCAGGGGGGTGGAGGAGCTGTGGTGCAGGACACCCGCTTGTGCTGAACAAGGTGACTCCACACCCACTCCCCAAACTGCCAGTGGCGCCTAGAGGTCTTCCAAGGAGCAACCGTGAGTGAGCGCGGAGTCTGCCTTCTGCCTGCAGCACGGTCCTCCACCCTAGAGCCCTCTTGCGTGGGACGCTGTCGGGAGCAGCTCCGGCCACGTGCCCTGCAAAGAACCGGACGGCAGCGTGGCCTGGTGTCTCCTGACTCTGCTGTTTGGCACTTGAGGGACTGGGGCCAGGTGAGGGTGACCTGGTGGGAAGGAAGGCTGCAGTACAGGCCTCAGTGCAGGCTGTCACCACCCCCCTGTGCTGCCCCGTGTCCCAGCTCCGTCCCTTCCTTTAGCTCTGGGCTCCAAAATTCCAAAACACATCCAGTTCGAAGAGGAGACCAGCACCCGCTGCCTGCCTGATGCTCTCCCCGCTGCAGCCGTAGTGGAAAGTGCCGCCATCAGCACTTCTCCCAATTACAGTGACCCTGTTGTGTTAATTAATTAAACCTCCTTGTCGCCTCGAGAGGAGGCCACGGTGTGATTCCTGCTGAGTGCTGAGGGCGGAGGGGCAGGGGGTGCAAGCTCCAGCCCACTCACTCAAAAGAAAAGTGCGGGGCCCCGAGAAAGGGATGTAGGAACCTCCCTTCTCCTCAGCCCAGGCTGCCACCACACCCCTACATAAAGCCCCTGAGATGGCACCTCACTCCCCCCAGAAAAAGGTTCACACTCTCCCTTCTTGCCCAGCAGGCTGTGGGGGAGGGGCCTCAAAGATCTGGGGTCGGGGGCACACTGCAAAGAGGAGGGGAAGCCAAGAAATGCACCAAGGCTCAGGAGCGCATAATGGGAAGATTTCAGCGTGATGTATGGTTCCCCGGACGTTATTAATGGTTTGCTGATTTTTACCTTTAAAACCTTTGGGCGCATTATTTATTATGTCCCTGGCATACTGTGATCTATGGAGGGGCACTAATCTCTGAGCACGGCCCCCCATGTCCCTGTTCCTTTACAGTGTCTAATTAGGCTGGGACGATGCCCTCCCCAGCTGGCTCCGCCCCACACCAAGCAGGGAGGAGGCATCTGAGGCTCACGTTCTTGTCCCAGGAGCCTTTGAGGCAGGGAAGTGTTTCCTAGGTCTGGCTCTGCAGGGACTTGCTCTGTGACCTTGGGCAGGGGCGTGACCTCTCTGGGTCCCTGTGCTCTTGCTCCTTTCTCAAAGGAGGCCACTGTACTACACAAGCTCCAGGAACACAGGCAGAAAGCAATGCGTTTCCCAAGGCTCGCTGTCACCAGCCCTAGAAGCCAGGGTTCCTGGGTAAGGTGGGAAGTCATCCTTCATTCTGGCTTTCTGTCACAGCTGCCAATTGCAGGGTGGGCCTCATGCATCTCACTGTCCAAAGGGGTAGCCCTTGAGCGTTCTACTCGTTGGGGATGGTGGGGACAGACGAGAAGCCAGGCAGTAAGGAAGGCCCTTGTGGCTAGCAGAGCATGTGGCCTCAGGCAGAGGCATCTGGAAGAGAGGAAACTGCACCCCTCGAGGCCCGGGAGGCCTGAGGGTCCTGGCTGTCTCTGCTCCGCCCTCCCTCCCAGGGCAGCACACAGCCTGACAGAGGCCTCCTGCCCTAGAGTCTCCCTGGCTCTCTTTGAGTCTGGGCTTGGGATGTGATGCTCTCGAGCCAGGCCAGGCCTTGTGCTGCTGCCTGGGTTGGCTGAAGTCCTGTCCCTCCTCCCCAAGACATAAGAGGAGGCGGCTACAGGAGTCCTCTCACAGGCCTTCCCTTCTCAGTCACACTCCATCTTCTTTGTGAAAGTGTCTGAAGGATGTCCTTGTCCTTCTCTCTAACACCAACTCTCAACTTCTCCAAGGGACAAACATTGCTCAGGTCACCACCTGGGGCATCAGGGCTGCCTTCTCCAATAGACAGTAAATTCTGTGAGTCAGAGCCTCACACTCTACCCACAAACCTACCTGCCCTCCTGTTCTGCTTTAAATATGACAGACTCCTGTATCAAGAGCTTGAACTCCTATGCAGCAGTGTTCAGAGGAGGGGTCTAGAGGGGTGAATGGATCACGAGTGTTGATCCATGGATGAGTTCTTAGCTGAACAGGCTCTTAGGAACTAGGGCCCAGTTGGAGAAAGTAGGTCACAGGAATGTGACTTTGAAGGGCACATCTTGTCTCTGGACCCTTCCTCCCTGGCTCATTCCATCTCCCTCTGCCTTCTGGCTGCCACGACAAGAGCAGTTTTCCTCCACCAGGCCCTTCTGCCTTGGAGCCGGCTTACCATGGACTGAACCTTCTACAACCATGAACCAAAATAAACCTTTCTTCTTAAGTTGTGTATGTCAGACATTTTGCTCCAGCAATGGAAAATCTGATTAACACATCTCCATGTGCATAAAAGTACACACATGTCACATACAAACACATGCACATACTCACATGCCTGTATGTACCTGCACACATATGCACACCTCATGACCTATCTGCACTTTTTCTTTATTGGGCTCTCCTTACCCTGCAACAACTCACAGCCAACCTCAACTCATGACCACTGACCTGCCCTAGCTCCAGCTCTTGCCTCCCCAAGGAGCTGCACACCTCAGCTGCCACCTGTCCAGAGATCTTGGACACTTGGCCCTTTTGCTGCTGTAGCCAGAGTTGACACTGAGGCCACTTCCACTGCCCCTGTTTCCTCAGCCCACACCTGGGAGTTCTGCTGTTACCATCACCCCTGGGTAAATGGAGCAGGACCACTGTTCTTTGGTCCCATGTGCCCATCAGAAGGGTAGTGCCCCTGACCAGTATGTTCTGGGGTGGGATGTAGGAGTAGATACCACAAGGGGAAGGACATTGGGACAATGGCCTCCTCTCTACATGCTCAGCTGCTGTCACAGACTTGGCACTGGACAGCAGATCAGAGCAGGTTGAATAGAGGACCTTCAGTCTGAGCTATGTCCTTAGCCCTTTTTATTTTTTATTTTGAAACAGGGTCTTACTAAGTCACTACATTGCCCAGGCTGTGCTTCAAAACACAGTCCTCCTGCCTCAGCCTACCATGATGCTTGGATTATAGGCATGTACCACCACGATCATGGCTTTTAAAGCATTCTCTTTTCCCCAGGTCCTAGTATTGCTTAGAGCTATCTGTCCAGTAGGACCTGTCTGTCACAGGGCAAGCATGAGCCACTGTGTTGGAACAGAACAAAATTGGATGTGGGGCTCAAGCTTGTTGCAGAAAATGAGTCACATTCCGGCTCTCACCCTTTCCACCTCCCCATCCCTGCAGCCAGCCAGCGTCTGTCCCTGGGTGGGCCCCTCCCAGGAACTGCGTCATGGACAGAACTTTGAGAAGTCACCTGGTTTATCGCCCTGCCGATAGGCAGGGTGCTCCCAAGCCTAGGAAGCTAGGAAGCCGTCCTATTCTTCTGGGACATGGCTGGTGGGAAAGGGAGGCTGGCTCCTAGCCTGGGCCTCTGATGAGCCGCCCACTCCCAGCTGTAGCCTCGGGGCTGTGCATCACAGCAGTAAGAGTACCCAGGCCACCCGGGCGGTTCTAGCTCTGGGCTCACGAAGAAGCTGTGTTCTGCACAGACCAGAGGCTCCCAGTTCAGCAGGGAGAAGCCTTGGGTGCTGGGCTCAAAAAGGGGTGGAGACTGGGGCCAGGTGAGTCCTTCACCCATAACTCTCCGCCCGGAGTCAAGGCCCAGTCTGGAGAGGCTGTTACTCCTGCCAGCTGGCTCCATTCCTTACGTCTGCCCTCTCTTTCTCTCTGCCCCCTCCCTCCTTGTGCCCCACCATTTCACAGCGGGCCCTGGAGCACAAGGCATCCAGGTTCTGGCGCATCCATCCGTTCCTACCCACCCCAGCGCCCACAGGCTCACACCAGCCTGGACTCAGCAGTCAAGCTCTAGACACACCCTTGTCCCATCTTTCCTACAGCACCCCCATGTTTACACTCTCAGGAAGGTCCAGGAGCAGGCTGAGGTGGTCCTGTCCTGGGTGTCCCTCAGGGCAAGGTGTCTGGGAGCTCAGGAAGGACCTGGGCAGGAGCAGAAGTGGCAGGAGTGTGGATGGAGTTTTCAGGAAACTAGGGGCAGAGGGAGGATGGACTCCTGTGTTTCCCCCGCAGGGAGCCAGACTGGGCCAAGGAGGCAGGAAAGGAAAGTGGTCTCTGAGACGGGGCCAGGGTCAACAGGAGTGCTGGTCACTCCGTCCCTGGTGACCACGATGGAAAAATTCCTGGCATCTGGAATCTGCATCTGGCAGTCATTGGGGGTCTTGGGCTCACGCAGCAGTGAGCAAGATAAAGAACTGCCTAGAAGGGAGCAGGAGGGCAATGGCCAGAGGGTCCCCTCATCTACGGGGTTCTGTCTCAGCTGCCAATCCCTGCACGGGTTCTGAGCAGCCCCAGCCAGGTCTCATGCGTACAAGTCAGGAGCTGCAGCAGGGTGCAGGCCTCAGTGGTCACTGTGGGCTCCTCTCAGGGTAAGGGAAGCCAGGATGGGATACAGGGGCTGGTTCCTGAGGAAGAGTGCTGCACGAGGCACCCCTGGTGGGCCGGGCTCAGACAGCACCATTCTTCCCAGGGGCGGGCCTGGCTCAAGCCCAGCGCAGAGCACGGATCAGGTTGGTCAGTGAAAGGGAGTGAGCTCAGGGGCCTGGCAGCCCTGCCTGCGTGTCCTGGGAGACGCCCTTTACACAGACCCCGGGACCTGGGCTGCCAGTTAGGTTGCTGGACACGGAGGCAGAAGAGAGGGTCAGGGAGGGAGAGTGAACTTTACTCACCTAATTGCCTCTCAGGAGACCAAGGTGGAGAGAGGTTGACTTGGCTGACCCATGCTGTCCCTTGGGGAGACTATAGAATGAGGGGCAGCAGGGAAGCTGACTCCGTGTGTGTGCACAAAGGTGTATGTCTGTGCACGTATGGCAGTGAGCATTCGTATGTGTACATGCATGTGCATGTGTGTGCATTGTCCTGTGTGTGTACGTGAGCATATGCGAGCATGTGTGAGTGGTGAATGTGTGTGTTGCACATGTGTTAGTGTGTGTGTGCAGGTGAGTATGCACAGGAGAGTGCTGTGAGTGTGCTCATAGGGGTTTGCATGTATGTGAGCCTGTGCGTGCATGCATGTAGGTACATGTGTGTGCTGTGTTTGCATATGTTTGCATGGAGAAGCATACGTGAGTGGTGAATGTGTGTGAGTCACACACTTGATAGGGTGTGCAGGCGTGTGCACGTGAGTGCACGTGAGCATGGGCAGGGGTACTTGGGACTGGGCTGGTGAGAGACGCTCTCTCTGCCCAAGGAGTCCCGGTCCTGGAGGGACAAAGGTTCATCTGTCAGATGCAGGCCATTGGGCGTTTAAGACATTTTCCTCCAGCTGCTTGTTGAAGCTGCTTTCCTGCCCTGCCTCGGACCCCTGGGCCAGGATTTCATACAGCAGCACTGTCAGGGCTGACAGCTCTCTGAGTGATATTCATGCTCGCTGCCTTGAAGGAAACATGGAATGGTCATGATTTGTTTGCAAAACTCCCTAGCAAGCCCCACCCCACACTCCATGTGCGCACTACTGTGAGGGTTTTCTCAGCCTGAGTGCAGGTCACCTCTCCCTAGCCCTACCAGAAGAGCGCAGTGGAGATGATGCCTGCATCTAGAGGGCACTCAGATGCAGGGATGTGGTGAGGAGGAAGGGGGTGACCCGCAGGAGTCGCTCATAGACTTGCTGTGTGCCATGTTATCTGCAGGGCCTCTCCGAACTCTGGATGAAGGAAGCTAAGGGAGACGTGGAAAAAGACCTGTTGTCTGGGCTTGGCCACTTACACAGCTGTGGGATCTCTTCTCCAAGATGACTCTGCCAGAAGGATGTAAGACCAACTATAACCAAACATTCTATACATTTGGAAGCTCTGAAAGGAGCAGGGCTGGAGCCCTAACCAGACCAGTGAAGTCAGTCTTGGGCTGTGGTTCGCAGCCCCTGAAAGGAGGCGGTCCTTGTGGGCTGGAATCTCTGATCCCCACCAGCTGGACAAGGGCAGGGTGAAGGTTTTTTCCTCCCTCCATCCCTCAGGGAGCAAAAAGGGATTGTCAGCGAGACCTTAAGTACCCAGCTAGCATCTGCAGTGACACAGGATTAAGGAAGTGGCTAAGGATGTCTGTACGCTGGGCTTCTCAAGAGGCGCTGAGCCACAGTGGACCAGCAAGCACAGTGTTGTAATGAAAGGGGTGGGGAGGAGATATCTGATCCCTGTGACCACAAAACCCCTTATCTCCAAGTCAGAAGAAATCACAGAGTTGTCCGTTAACAGCAAATGTTTTAAATAGAAAGGGCAGAAATATTTGGGGCTTAAAGCAGGTGAGTTTATAACCAAGAGGAGAATCCCAGGAATAGATAAATCTTCAGGTTAACCCTCAGTTTTAGGGAGCCAGATTATCACCTGGTCTTGCCCAGAGGTAGAGCATTATGGAGCACAAAGTAGAATCAGTGGAGCAGAAAAATCCCACCGAATTTACTTTCCTAAGTCTTCATTATTTTACATTAAATTCTTCTACAGAGTGCTGACCACCTTTAGCCAGGTTACTTATTCACAAACCTAACCTGAAATGGGGGGGAAAATAGACACTGTGGAAAAGGATGTGGATGGACTTTAGAGTCCGAAATAGCTGAGCATAAATCCTGGTTCTGTCCCTAACCAGCTGTGTGAGCTTGGGTAGGTTTATGTACCCCCTCTGTGCCTCAGTGTCTTTGCTCTGTGACGCCTGCCTGCTTGCCTACTTGATGGAGGTGTTGGGGGGACCACACCGGATGGTTTCTGTGAAGGGCCCACTATGGTACCTGAGGCGCAGAAGATGTTGGACTCAGAGCAGTTCTAGCCAGAACACCAGAATTTCCTGTGTGCTGTCGTCCCTGTGTTATCCGACCCATTTTACAGGGTTTAAACTGTCGCTCCTTGAGCCTGGGGGCCTGCTCTTTCCACTGCAGTCTTGCGTACAAACAGGTGATGCCATTTTATGAAGTGCCAGGTCAGCAGGTGCCGGGTCAGCAGCCCCTGGTGCTGGAGGAAGCAATGAGAGTGAAACAAGGCCATCAAAACGCCTTTCGGGGGAGGACTGCAGACCTCAGATCACAGCAGAGGTTCCTGAGGAATGCAGCGCCCGGGACATTCTGTGTCACCACATCTAGACAGCTCACAATGCCGCCTGTCCCTCTGCGGCTTCCGGCTAAGATGTCATTTTTCCACCCTACTGGATGAGTGACCCATGAGTGTCTCATCTCCACCAACCTTTCAGACGACTGATACCAGCAGATTGTCAGAAACTAACTCCATACCCAGCACCACCCTCCTGCCAAAATATACATAAACCCATATACACATACATATGCATAACCTGTCTTTATTGTAAACACCTGAAAGCATCGCCTCCATAGATATTTAAAAATGTGAAATTTTATTAAGAATAACTCTTCCATCTGTGACATGACCACTGCAGCCAGCATCCAGCCAATCTGCTTGAGGTGGGTGATTTTAAACAACCAGGAACCAAACCCCGCTCTTGCAGAACTGACTTCCTTTTTCATGAATCTGGATATCAGAGTCATCTGTCTGGTGAGGAAGTGGGTAGGGACCATTCAGAGAGATTCTGCTCCCTACCCAGGTAGGACCAGACCCAGGCTGGCTCTGGAACGTTATACACAGGGCATTTTTTAAATCTCAAAATATAATACATAGAATTTTCTTTTAAAAAATGACAAAGGGCACATGCAAATCAATTCATTAAAAAACTCTATAAAGATCCCAGTAGAAAAATGGATAAAAGGCATACATTTATAATTTATATGAAAATGTTTTTAAACTCTAGAAAAAAAATTAAATTTCATTAGTAATCAAATATATCTAAAATAGTACCGCATTAAAATGAAGTTCTGGTTTTGCCCATAAAATTAGCAAACATTTTCTCATGTTTAATGACAATACCAAACACCCACAGGCATGTGATGAGCCAGGTGATCTAATTTACTGATTTTTAGAAAAAAATTGGTTTATGTATATGAAAAACCTTAAAAATATTGATCTTCTATGGGCCCAATAATTCCATGCTTCCTGGGAATCTATCCTAAGGAAATAACCAGAAGTTCAGGAAAATAATTATTAAGAACAAAATAATAGAAACATAAATAGTCAGCAATAGGGAAGTGGTGAAGTAAAGTTTTTAAATTCTCAAAATGGAATTTTCTTCAGGTATGAAAAGATAGGTAGATAGCCTGGAACAGAGGAAATTGCCTGTTACCCCAGCCACATGGGACGCTGAGGCAGGAGGATCACAAGTTCAAGCCCAGCATGGGCAACTTAGCAAGACCTTGTCTCAAAATAAAAAATAAAAAGGGCTGGGGATATAGCTCAGTAGAAAGGACCTGAATTCAATCTACAATACAGAAAAAAAAGCAAAGGTTTATGATGAATGGGGAAAATTCTTATGTAGTTAAGCTTTAAAAAAAAAAAAAAGCAGTATATAAATGTTATATAAAAAATAATCCCAACTACAGAATGCTTACAAAACTGTGGGAAGGAAATATTCCAGTTTGCCAACAGAAGCTACCTCTGATGGGTAGAATTATATGTGAGTGCTTCCCTTTCTTCCTGCTTTACTTATTTATTATTTGTTTACTTATTTTACATTTTCCCATTACAAAGATTTATATATAAATGAAGAGAAAACACTGGGAGTTTGAGGCTGAGAACAACATCATCTAGTGACCCTGAATTCATCGCTTCTCTGAAGTACCCATATCTGCAGAGTCACTAAATATATTCAAGACTAGCAGAAAGCCCCTCAACGTCAAACAAGGTGAGTGCCAGAAGCAGCCCAGGAGACGATAACAGCAGATCAATAGGGAAAAGGAATAGAGCGACACTCACTAGCAAAAGCCAGCCCCCAGCCCTCCACGGACGATTCCAGCCAGCCACCTACTCGTGCTCCGTGGAGGGGCGCAGGTCACCCACCTCCCACGGCACGGCAGACCCACTCCTGCGCCCCTTCTTCCCTGATGGCGAGGCTGACCCAGGCCTCAGACTGTAGTCCCCAGGGATGGCACGGGGTGGGCCAGGCCTTTGGCAGATCCTCCATGTTTGCCTTAGTTCCTTGAAGTTACCATTGGCCTGAGCTGTGCTCAGGTCTGTAGGCAAAATATTTCGAACAGTTCCTGCTGGTGGCCACTGTCTTGCTGCTAGAAATCTAAGTCACCCTGACTGAAGCCATCTGCCCTGTCGCCTGCCGCGGTGTATGCACAGCCTCTGGCTGCCTTCTGGTCTTGTCCGTGGGTGCAGCAGCCTTCACCTGCCCCTGGCTCTGGAGTCCCTGGGTCTGAAGGAGACCCTCCCTCCTCAGAAGCTGGATACATGGTGGTCACCTTCCCCTTGGTCTGTGGGGCTTCCAGGCACCCAAGGTCTCTCCCTGACTGGTCCTCCAAGGCCTTCCGAGAGACCTGGGAGCAGCAGCCCAGGGGCGTTTGGGGGCCTGGCCCTTGGTGGGGCGCATCCCCAGCCTGGGCCGGGGGTGTCATGGGCCTCCCCTCCTGGTCTAGGCTGCTACTTCCCAAAGCCTCCCCTCTCCCGCCCTGTCCTGTGCTAACTCCAGGGCCACCTTCTTTCTCGCCGTCATGTCCTTCTTCAGACTGTGGCTGTCCTGCGGCTTCAGCACTACTGCCCTGCTCTCCTGCAGCCTCTGGGGGAGCATCCCCGTCCCCGGAGCCGTCACGAGTGGCTCCTTCCTGTTCAGCCGAGCGATTCTCCAGCCCCTCGGCCTCCTCCTCCCGGGTGCTGCCCACGCTGGCATGGGTTCTCCCTCCTCTCTCCCGCACTGCGACTTCCTTCTCCCGCTCCTGGTCACCAGCTCCCTCCGTCTCGCCGAGTTTGGGGCCACTGCTTTGCCTCTGGCTCCCCGGGCCCAAGGCCTGCTTCTGCCCTCCTGTCCCCCCTCCCTGGACAGTGGGGTCCTCCCGAGGCCGCTCAGTCCCTGTCCTCTCGGGGGCTCCCTCTGCTGCCTCTCTTCTCCTCTGCTGCAGAATTTGCCGCAGGTCAAAGGCTATTTTGATAGGTGCACTGGCAGCCCCTGCGGTGTCCTTCGGGGACTTGGGAAGCGCCTTCTTCCTCATGCAGGTCTCGCAGGGACAGAACTCGTCCCCCTCAGCCCCTGCACCTAGCCCGGTCCCCAGGGCGGCACTGAGGTTGGGCCTGTCCTCCAGGGTGGGGAACAGGGGCTCCCAGTTAGGGCTCTGCTCCGGGAAGGCTGAGAGGTTGCGCAGGCCCTGGAGGCGGCGCCGGCGCTGCTCGGCTGGCAGGGACGCCTGTCCCCTGAGGGCCTCCCTGGGTGACCCCCGGGCGCTCCTCCCCGCCCGGCTCTGGATCTTCCGCAGCTCTTTGTTGGTACTGTCTCGGAGGCGCAGGCCCACATCCCGCTGCAGCTCCGCCACCATCTGGTCCAGCAGGCTGTCGTCCTGCAGGCTCCAGCGGGCTCGGAGCTCAGCCAGGGCCCCGGCCAGGTGGGCCATGAAGGCCTCCTCCATCTTTGTCAGCAGCTTAGACACCCACACAGGGTCAGGGTCCAGAGTCACTGAGCGAGCCCCGGGCAGGCTTGTCACCCCGGTGTCCGGGGTGGACTGGGCCCGGACTTGCTCCCAGCCCAGCGCAGCTGCCCTAGGCGGTGCTTCCAGACCAGGCTCTGATCTGGGGCTGCCGTGATTCTCACTGGCGTCTGAGCCCCCCTGGCTGAGGTGGCGCTCTGTGGGCTCCTCTCCTCTTCCTGGGAGACCCAGGGCTGCAGAGGCAGGGTCGTTCCCTGTGTCTTCCTGCTCCCCGCTGACTCTGGCCTCTCCTGGAAGCCCCTCCTCCGGGACAGCCTCCTCCTGGGGTCTTTCTCTTTCTTCTGTGTTCTCTGTTTGTCCCCTGTCCTCCCGCGTGGTGTTTTCCATGAGTGGCTCTGGGCTATTGTCCGTTTGCTCCGGATCATGGCCCGATGTCTGCTCCCTGCTGTTGCTTGTGGCTTCCTCTTGCACTGGGGAGCTGGAGGAGGCTGTGAGACAGCTCTGCTGGGGGTCTGCCCTGTGCTCCGGGTGTCCTGAGCTTCTGGCATTGGGCCTCTGGGAGGACAGCTGCAGGGACCGCTCCAGCTGCTCAGGGACGAGGGTGGCATCCACGGCACAGGGCACACTGCTGTCCCCCGAACCTCCGGAGCCACTGCTGACGTCCACCCCGGAGGAGGAGGTGGGCGTGAGGTCCTTGGTGACCGGCAGGGCCTGGCATGCAGTGAGCTCCTTGAAGTCCAAATCTAGCTGGCCTTGTCCTAGGTCACAGCCCGGCCACAGGCCCTGGGAGAGCCCCAGTAGCTCCTGGTACTGAGGGGAGTCTTCGAACCTCCCTTTGTCTGCCAGAGACCCGAGGGCATCATCAAAGAAGCGAAGCCGGACGAGGCAGGCGATGAGGGCCTCAGCTGACCGGCTGAGCCTCTGGACCATCGGGCCCGACAGCTCTGGCAGGCTGCTGGGTCGACCCTGCTTGGAGCCCATCAGCGCCTTCAGGATCTGCGCGGAGGCAGAAACCCTGCCGGGAAGGGCACACCGTGTCGCCGCACGGCCCGTGGGGGCCCCTTCCCCGATCCCAGCCTTCGCAGCAGCCTCAGGCACTTCACCCAGACCTGTGCCTTGATGGGGGTCATCTCCCAATTTGGGGCCCACGTCAACAGCCCCTCGGAGGCCTTGGTCCTGTGCTGTGTGCTCATCAGGGTCCTCTTCTGGGACCTGCTGTCTGAGGTCCCTAGCGTCCTCCTCAGCACCTCCTAGGCTGTCATGAGCCACAGGTGTGGACTCGTCCACCACCTCGTATCTCAGGAGAGCGGGCTCCTCTGGGATGTTGTCCAGCCACTCACGGACCACCGCATCCGGAGAGGCATGGGGCAGAGCGCTGGGAGTCACGCTGCCATCTTCCCGCGGCTCCTCAGAGATGCCTGTCCCGGCACCAGGGCTGGGGCTCCTTCCTGCTCCCCTGACTGCCCTCTGCATAGCTCCCGGTTTAGGGCTTGGGGACAGTCTGCGCCCCACCTGGAGTGTTTCTTCCCCTGTCCCACCAGCTCCGGGCCCCTCGTCAGCAGCCCTTTGGTGACCACCGCAGTTCAAAGGGTACCTCTTGGTGCAGGGCTGCCCCCGGGGGGGCGTGGGGCAGTACCCACCGCAGGCCCAGCAGGCCTCAGTGTGACCGCTGGGAGTCCCCAGGACCGGGCATGCCCCAGCCTGTGAGCTGCAGCAGCTGTGACGAGCTCCTGGCTCCTCTTCCTCAGGCCATCCACCCAGCAGAGCCAAGGGCGGGGAGGGCCTGGAGGTGCTGCCTGTCTGGCCCCCCCGGCTGCCAGCCCCTCGTGTGCGGGAAGGTGTGGGCGGTGAGAAGTGCACCTTGCACGCAGTGTCCCCCACCGGCTCTGCAGAGCAGGCCCTGGGGTGAGAGAGACTGGAAGCGCAGTCCGAGCTACTCACAGGGGGGGTGGCAACCCGGCTGGCTGCTGCTGAATCCTTGGGGTCAAGGGAGCCGGTGTAGAGTGACCTCGCGTTCCCCGAGGCCTGTCTGCTGGTGCTGGACGACTTGGGAGAACATCGTGGCACTGGGCCCCGTGGGCAGGTGTCTCCTCTGTCCGGAGGCCTTGGTGCTAGCTGGGCTTCCGGGAAGTCTGTGGGGCAGTGAGTGTCCTTGCAGTGGGGACACAGCCTGGCATGGCCTCTCTGGGCTACCTGGTGGGGATTGAGAGTGCTGGGAGAGGCTGTGGTACTTCCTGGACTCTGCCACCTTCTCCTCCCCTGTAGGGCTGGGGCACAGGCGGAAAGTGGGAGGGAGATTCCCCCTGTGTCCCAGGAGCCAGATGATCCCAGAGCCAAGGGCGGCGTTGTCACAGGCCCATCCATGGCCTCGTGGCACCCAGAGCCCTGTCTACGTTTCTCTGTCGGTAGCTCCTCATTGTTCGGAGATGAGAGACAAGGGCTGTCACCTTGGGTGGCCTTCCTCTGGGAGGTCCTGCTCCTCTCCTGGCCCGGGCAGCCCCACTGCTGACCTCCCCACTTGCCAGACTCCTCATGAGACTTGGCACTGGCCAAAGAATCAGAAAGGGCCCCTTCCACACCTCGGGTCCCAGGTGCCTGGTAGCTCTGTGGCTCGCAGCCAGCTGGCTGCCCTCCCTCCGGGGACTGGGCCTCCCCAGCTTTTTGTTCAGCCCAGCTCGGGGAAGTAGCCTCAGAGGCCAGACACGGGCTGTCACTGCCTGCGCAGCCCTCTGGGGTTCTGGGGCTGCAGGAGTCTGGGTCCGAGCCTTCCGGGCGCTCAGCACTGGAAGCCGGGCTGCGGCGCTCCTTGCCACACCTCTTCCTGCCCTGGCCCCAAGCTGACCTCCTCTGAGGTGCAGGCTTCTCACCCTGGGGAACACACAGGGGGTTTCTCCAGATCTCACAGCTGGGCCAGGGCCGCAGGCTTCCATCGAAGGCTCGCTGGCACCCTGCCTCGCACAGACCTGGTCCCCTGGCCCCAGACTCCAGGCTGTCCCAACGGTGGCCCTCCCATCTGCAGCAGTCAGGGTCTACCTCCTGCAGGCCGGGGCCCTCCCTGCTGGCCTGCCCCACCCTCTGGGACCACAGCATCGCCTCCTCGCCCGGGAGGTGGAGGCGGACTCTCATCTCCACGGACAGGCTGCCGTCCTCGTTCATGCGGACCTTCTTCTCCACGTCGTCACCGGTCACCAAGGGGCCAGGCGGGGAAGTCCCCATCCAGGCACGAGGCAGGGATGCGGGAGGCTTGCTGAGCCCAGACCTTGCTGATGGCAAGGACTGATGCCTGCTGCCTGACCTGGACCTGGAGTGGATCACGCTCGGCTTGGCCTTGGGCCCCCAGTAACCTGGCGCGTGGTGAGGAGGAAGAGAAGAGGAAGAGAGTGAGGCATGTCCAGCATCAGGAGCCTCCCACCACCTGTGTGTCCCATGTGCCCTGTCCCCAGCACGGGAGGCCGGCTCCGTGCACTGCTCCCTGCAGGCCTGACTGAGCTAGTGCCTTGGGAAGGAGCACCACCAGGAGCCGATAAATGACCTCCCAGAAGGGCCTGAACTCACACTGTCAGATCCTGAGAGCTCTGTCTGCATTCCAGCCAGAAGAAGAAGATGGGATCTCTAGGGACAGAAGAAAGCAGCCTGGCCAACTCTGGGTGCTACACGCTGTCATTTCATCTCCTGAGCTAGACTGAGCTCGACTCAGGGAGCTGTGACCGATGAGTCCTCAGAGCCCTTGCCCTCTGTGCTTCTTAGTAGAAGCGATTTTAGACCCTAGAAAGTTGAGCTCAAGATTCCCTAACTCCCGACGCCTCCAGACATCATGCTGTGCTCCCTCATAACCCAGGCAAGGTTGACAGTGGTGAGGAGGAGGCAAGAGGGACCCCAGAATGACTGGATCCCTGGGAACTGGGGTCAAAGGCCCCTTTCCTGGATTGTGTGGACACCCGCCCTCCCCTATAGAATCACCAGCCCATGCATATCAGATGCGGAAAACCCAAATCGACTCACCGTTTTTGTTGCTTGAAGTCAGCACAGATAAAGCTTCGGTCCCTCCTCTCTGGGCGCTGTCCATCACAAGGGGTTTGAAGGCCTCGTTCCCCGCACACACCAGCACGGAAGGGCCGCGCAGCAGCACCTGCAGAGGGTCCACCTGGAGGCGGCAGGGTGCAGTCAGGACCCTGGGGAGCAGCCCAGTTGCTCCAGCCCTTCCTGACTTCTGTTCGTCTCTCCCCTCGACACCTCCATCCCTAGCGGACACCTCTTCCACGATCTCTCTGGGTGGGAGCCTGTGCTGCAGCTCACTTTGGACAGAAAAGAGGTTGGAGCCCTTAGGCTGCCTCCGTGCCCACATATCCACCCGACAGAGTGGATTCTTCCCGACGCAGCTGCCCCGACAGCACCAGCCCAGCCCAAATGGGGAGCCTGACCCCTGCACTGGGCTTTTCCCAGGTGCGCTCTCCTTTCTGACCAGGTTTTCACTGCAATCTGAAAGGGTTTTGGTGCACCCCTTACCTCTTCCCCTGCCACCACAGGACGGAGAGGGCAAACACCACTCTCCTTCCCGTCCTGACTTTTACAGTGGTGTCCCACTCAGCTCAACACTCAGCAACAGGGTGTGTCCCTGTCCACTCCTGAATCAGACCTCAGCTTTTAGAAAAATCTCCCCCTGCCTGTGTGAGGGTTTACACTATTGCTGTGGTGATATCACCCTGTAATGAGCACGCTGGGAGATTTGGTTCCATCTTTGAAGTGCAGAATATGTTCTTTTTCAGTAACAAAGAAATGAAGGAGAGGACTCTTACATCTTCTTCCCCCAAAATGGCACATAAATTTGTTGTACTCTAAACCTTTCAGGCCAGTTAATTAGAAGTGTGTTTTCAACTTCTAGGTATATTTCTTCTTTGATTCAGATTTCTAGTCCATCTCAAAAATACGAACATGACCTGGGTCTATCAATGGACAGATGTAGCCATGCTTCCAGGCAGGCTGACTCCTCAGGGAGGAAGACAGAATTGGGATCTAAGTGGCACACTCATCCCTAAGAGACATGTGACCTATGGGGAAAAAAGAACACTATCAAGTGTCCATCCCGAAAAGGACTCAAAAGTTAACAGTCATGACTCAACTCTCCCTGGGGAGCAGGAAGATCATTTTCACAGAAACCCTAAAAGCTCTGCAGTAAGTCTAGGTGAAAATGTCCTAACATCTTCTTCTCTTATTAACTTCTTTTGTAACAGGTCTCCCACTCACCAAGGCTCCTAAACTGTGAGCTAACCAGAGATAGGGACCTAGCCTTACTTCGTATATGCTACATAGTACGTGCTAGTACATGGCAAAGGCTCCATAACGCAAGAGCACTTCTGCACCGTTGGTGGTGGTGCCCTCATTTGCTAACTATGCAAATATGGGACAGTTACTTAACTCTGTGCCTCACTCTTCTAACCTATCCCGAGGGCATAATGGCACTAGCTGCACTAAGATTATGTGTGGTAGATGCTACCCTCTAGACAGGTCCACTTTCCAGGTGCTGTTTTTCCACCTATGCACAGCTTACAAAGCTGGAACCCCATTTCCCCATCTCCCTTCCGGGTAAGAATCTCAATACGAAATAGGCCTCACTAATTGGATGCCCTTGCTTAAGACAGAGACAAGGCAGTGGAGCAAAGGCCATTTTCCTTTTGCTTTTTTTCTGTAGCCACAAGCAAAAAGAGTCAAAGGTGCAGAGAAGGGTGTACAGCTGATGTGGCAAAAGCCACACTCATCGTTCTACCGCCTTCCAGATGTCAGCATGCTAGACTATAGCAACGGTGGGGAGATACCGAACCCAGTCATTCCAATGGCAACCACCCGACAAGCCATTTTCTTGACTGTAGCAGGGTGTTGCTGTGATCGGTTAATTCGGGAGCATTCTAGGAATATTCTAGGAATATCCTTCCCCAGGAACCCAGCCTCAGGTTCCCCAGCCCTTCACGAATCTTGAAGCATCAGGAACTCTCTGTGCAGAATTCCTTTCTGCATAAGCACGGAGAGGGCACTCTGCTTCCTGTGCTGAACCACTCCGGGCATGACGTGCAAAGTCAAAGGTGATCGCAGGCAGTAGACCTTCAGCGTGGGAGTGTGGGACTGCAGGTTGAGTTTGAAGCTGGTGATAAAGTAGTGACAGTGGGACACAGGTGCCCCATGGCACACAGTGACAAAGCAGGTTCCTCAGTGGTCATCTCTGATGGACTTTGGCTCCCACTGGCTGCCACAGTGGACTGTGACAATGTGGATTAGAACTGCAAGGACTAAGTGCTGGGTTGGCTGCTTCTAACCCTAAAAGGAGCAGGTGCAGCACCTCAATTCTTCATTCAAGTCCAGCCAGGGGACTTGGAGCTTCCACAGCCACTGCAAAGGATCTCTTGAGTCATGTAGCTAAAACTCAGGTGCAGAAACTGTTTTGGCTGATGCTAGACTACAGCTGAACAGGCATTACATGGTCCGTGAAGCCATAATACCGGTGTGGTGAGTACTCGGTTATCAGGTGGGGGTGACACACACTGGATCAGGCTCATGCAGCTTGCACTGAGCCACGAGTAAATTGCCGAGCAGGTGGCGTGGCACCTGCTCCGAGCTCACCTGCCATGTGGCTGCCTCTCCTCAGCACACACCTGTGGCTTCCTGGGGAATTCCCTGAATCAGCTGACCAAAGAACATGTTGGAATCTGGGTCATACAGGGCTGCAGAGGCTGCCGATGTGATCCAAAGTTGGCCATGGCAGCATAAGGGATCCATTCAGGAGCCATGAATGGTGGCAGGGAAAGAATCCAGGGGCCAGTGTGATTGTGCTGACTGCTTTTTTGGAGGCAGCAATGGCAAGATGTCCTGCAGTTACTTATGGGCAGTGGGTCATGGCTCAATCTGACAGTTTGGGACTTGAAAGGACCAGATCCTTGGTGACAAGGAAACCTGGAGAGGAAGCAGTGAAAGCATTCCTCATGGTGAAAGGTCCAGATGACAAGAACATTTGTGTCCTGCGTGAGCGCTCACCAGAAGGGGATGTCCAGCGGATAGTTCAACCTGCTCAGTGGATGTCGGTCACACTTACTCCCCAGCTGCCCCGGGGCAGGCTCAGTCGGCACGCAGGGTGGCAGCGTTGGATGAACCAGCAGTGTCAACTCCGCCTCATTCCTGTGGATCTGCCTGTTGGGTCTTCTCAGGACCCGATCTGCCAAGAGCTAAACTTGTGACTTGCATCATGCCTGAGGGATGCAGCCAGCCACCTGGTGGGGAGCTATTGACGCTGAACCCCTGTATCAAGGAGACAGCAGCTTGTGATCAGAGATGGACACTTATTCTGGACGGAGACTCCATTTGACTCTCAGGATCCATCATCATCCTTTGCCCACCATCCATCCTTTATCCTTACCCACCCACTTGCTGAACACCAGCTCATCATTGCCATATCCCAGGAAGCTTACTTCTGTCCAAAGAACTGATTTTATAGCAGAAGATGTGAGGCAGTGGGCTGGCACCCATGAGCTGGCTGCATAGCCATGAACCTCATCGCCCCAAAACAGTCAAAACTTATACCACAGTGGAGATATCCCCTGGAGGACCCTGCTGGAACCACTGGCAGGCATCTCTCTAGGATGCTGAGCTGTCATCCTACGGGGTGTGGTAAGCACTTCCAATGGGCAGCCACTGCGTAGCACTGTGTCTCCAGAGGCCACGTGCTGGGAGTGAAGGGCCTGAAAGGCAAGGGGCTCCTCTCTCTGTCTCACAGGTCCTAGCTGCGGGCATTTTGCACATAGCCACGATCAGCTGGTGGAAAGCCAGTGGTTCCAGCAGGGTCCGCCAGGGAATATTTCCACTGTTGTACAAGTGTTGGCTGCTTTGCGGTGATGAGGTCCATGGCTGTGCAGCAGCCCTGGGAGAGATTACAGAGTTGTCTCCTCAGCTCTGCCAGGTACACCCTGTTTTTACCAATTACCTCCAATTTCCTACTTTTTGCTCTTGAGTTCCTAATAACTTTATGTAAGGTATTTTGATAGCTGTGGACTCTCATAGACCTTAAGCTAGAGGGCGTCAGTAGGGATTGTGACAGGTGGTTACGAAGGGGGTGTGGCTTTGGGCGGGAATGTGAACACGTTTTTGACTGTAGGAGGGAGAGCTGCATTCCCGATGGCAAGTGTGTTGCTACAGCCATGGAAGTGTGGGTGGGGTGTTGTAGACAGGAGCTGAGTAGCCATAGGATTCAGCTGTGGGGAGGCTGAGTCAGCTTCTACCTGCTTCTAGTCAGCTTCTAGGCCAGTCAGCTTCTACCTGCCACTCTGTCTTCTTTTGATGGAAATTTGTGTTCTTCAGACTCTTGAAAAGCAGAATTACATTTGCAGGCTTTCTGTGCAGATAGGGCTGGATGTAGGTTGGATTCTCCCTCAACTAGATGAAAGCAAATCCAACACCCTTTCTTCCTGTTTCCAGCTGACCCTGCAGGAAGGCAAGCCTGTGGGACTCAGGAGGTAACGGTGGTGAGGCGTCAGTGGCAGACGCGGCCCCCAGCGATCCTGAGAGTCAAGATGCAGCAGTGGCGGCTCTGAGCCCAGACGTGTTCTCCAACTCAGCGCTCACGGTCACTTCCAGTAGAGTCAGCCAGGCCACCCTTGCCGACTGGGCTTTGGGTTCACACTCCAGCTTTCCAGGGATCAGGAAGCCCCCTTACGCGGCACTCTGATTAGGGCACCTTGAGCAGTTGTTTCCTACCCTGACCTCCACAGAAACAGGCTGCAGCTACTAAGTGTACCAAACAGAAACTAGAATGTAGGTAGCAATTGCCCGTGGATTAATTGACCTGGCTGGGTGTCCCTACCCTCTATACCTATAATTAGTAGCAGCCCAATTGAGAATAGCCTCCCACTCCAAGTTTGTGTGTGTGTGTGTGTGTGTGTGTGTGTGTGTGTGGTAGTGGAAATTGAACCTAGAGCCTGAGCTACATTCCTAGCCAATGTGCATTTTTGTTTATTTGTTTCTTTGTTTGAGACAGGGTCTTGCTAGGAGCTTAGGCTGGACTTAAACTCGTTATGCAGCCCAAGCTGGCTTTGAACTCACTGCAACTCTCCTGTCTCAGCCTCCTGAGTGCCGGAATTACATCATTTGGTCCATGTCATATTTTTTTATTTTGAGACAGGGTTGGTTTTTGTTTTTGTTTTTGTTTTTGTTTTTGTTTTTGTTTTTGTTTTTGTTTTTGTTTTTTGAGACAGGGTCTTGCTATGCAGTTCAGGCTGGCCTTGAGCTCACCCTTTAGCCCAGGGTGGTCTCGAACTTGCAACGATCCTCCTGCCTCAGCCTCTCAAGTGCTGGGATTACAGGCATGCGCCACCATGCTTGGCTAAAACAGGGTTTTGATAAATTGCTAAGTTGCCTAGACTGGACTTGAACTTGTGATCCTCCTGCCTCAGTTTCCCAAGGTGCTGGGATTCTAGACATGTGCCACCACACCTGGCTCCAGGAGCCTCGGTTAAGGGAACCCCACATCCCGTTCGTACCTTTCGCCCACTGATTGTGTACACCTGCTTCACGGGAAAGCGCAGAAGTTCTGAGGCTTGGCTGAGGAAGGCTGTCCGGCTCCTGGCGTCTTTGTGGCTGAGAAGCAATGTCTGCTGGTGTCTGGTGTCCCCGTTTCTAACCAGGGTTACCTTCCTCAGGGCTGCAGGACCCCTGCAGGAAGAGGACGTCCCGGGCGCCTCACGCCCACCTTCCACATCCCGCGACTGCACAGCGGAGGGGTCTCCCCCCTGTGGCCGGCCTGGCCCCCTAGGGGTCTTGGGGGCCTTCCTGTCAGAGCAGAGGTAGCAGCCACCATCCTGCAGCTGCTCCAGCGCACTGAGGCCATGCAGGCCCCGGGGCGTGGTCACGGAGCGCACTCCAAAGGACAGAGGCACGCGCTGCGAGAGCTCGTCCATCAGGGCGCTGAAGGTCTTGAAGGTCCGTCGGTGGACAGCCAGGCGCACCCCAGCAAACCGGGGGTCCCCTCGCTTGAGGAAGGTCACCTTCTTGGCCGGCGTGACCCGGGTGACGGAGGGAGTGTGAGCCACAGCGGGTAGGAGGCACTCACGGTGGCTGGGGGCCTGGACATCCTTCAGGTCGCCGTTCATGATGCCGAGGCCCCGGCAGCTGTAAACGCAGCGGGAGAGCGAGGTCAGGAGTGGCTCCCAGATTCACCTCCCTGCCTCTCCCCTCCCTTCCTGCCGCCCCGAATGGGCCCCACTCAACTGTGGAGCAGCAGCTTGGGAGAAAGAACAAAGGGTTGGTATTGGACAGACGTGAGTTCAAACCCCACCCTCACCACTTCCTACCTGGGTGGCCCAGGAGGGCAATGGCCTAATCTGCGCAGTCATCTGCAGGACAGCCACCGTCACTCTACACAGTGGTTCTGATCATTCAGTGGGTTTGTACATAAAAAGCACCAGGCACAAAGTGAAGACCAAAGTCTTTACTCCTTTCCTTCCCCTTGCTATTTCTCTTACCCCCAGAGGCCAGCATTGACCTCTGAACACTTCAGTGGTTTCTGTCAGGGAGGTGGGTTGAGAAAGCAAAGACCGTAAAACACAGGGCAAGTGCTGGCTGAGGAGTCAGAGGCCTGGGGCACCTGTTGAGGCCGCCCTTGTGGCCTGGGGGACCTCTGCTTCCCAACTTCGTGTTTCTAATTGCCAGTGGGTGGAGGCAGAAGTGTGGCCCCAAGCCTTTCCAAGGGTTTGGGGTACTGTGTGACCCAGAGGGCGCGCCCTCGGGATCCTGTGGGTGTTCCCTTTATGCTTGAGTGTTGTTTGCTCCAGGGAAGGAAGATGCTGCTCCCAAGTCCCCCTAAGTCTTGACACAATGCACAATGAGGCTTACATGTGCGTATCCCAGCGCTCTAGACACACAGACCTGCCACGGGAGGCTCAGGTTCAGTCGCCACGCCCTGTTCGTTCTGCTCTCACTGCCGTGGTACTGGAGCCTCACACAGGACTCCTGCAGTGCCACCCACGGAGCTGCGCTGTCCCTGTCTCCACGCTCTGCTCTGCCCCTGCAGGCCCCCCACCAGCCTCCACTGGACACTCCTGTGCTCTAAAACCTTCACGAGGCCCTGGGATCTGCAGAGGAAGCCCCGGCCCTTCACCTACAATCAAGGGCTTCTCCTGCTTGTCCCCACACCTCCTCCACCCGCGTCACCTCCGTTCCCACTGCCCAGCTCCGTGGCTATCCTGGGTAGCAGCCCACCTTGGGCCCTGCTGGTGGAGCCATCCCTGGCCCTCCATGAACAGATGGCCCCCATTTTCCATGCAGCTTTGCCATCCGCTGGGTCCTTGCTGGTCCCTAGTTGCCAAGGGAGGTGGAGCCTGCCCTCCCAAGGTGCCCAGCCCCATGCGTGGAGCAGAGCAGGCCTGGGGAATTATATACAGGCTCAGAGCGCAGGCATCTCACAAGGGTTCCCACCAGAGGCAGGCCTGTCTGGAAGCCGGCACTGAGCAGCTACAGCCGGGCGAGGAGCCCTCCAGCTGCAGGAGGCCAGAGCCATGCAGAGCCTTCCTCTCAGGCACCACTGCCGCCACTCATACCAGCCAGGCCACATCTCCCTTCTTACCTCTCCTCTCCTCTCCTGGGGCCCTGCTCACATGAAAGGAAGGAATTCTTCTCTCATTTTCAAAGTGTGGTGCACAAAAAGGCCGTGTAATCCTCTCTCGTCTCTGCCCTGCTTTATAATTAGCTTTGCCCACCTCCTCCCTCCCGACTAATCCCTGTAAGCTGCTCTCATTAGACCCCTGCGGACGCCTGGCTCCTTCATGCTTGTGAGCATGGTCTCCTTCCTGGGAGTACAGGCCCCCAGAGGGGGAGCACCACACTGTCACCAGCACCGCCCTGTCCCCAGCATCGGCGTGTCCAGCGGTGCACCGCCCTTGCATTGCTGTGTCCCTTGCATTGCTGTGTCCCCCAGCTCTACCATGTCCCCCAGAGTCACCTTGCACTATAGCTCCACCATGTCCCCTAGCATGGCCATGTTCCTGTGGACATAACAAATGTGTGTCCTCGCACAGGGTGTGATGCAAGCAGAGGAAGATTGCTTGCAATCTGGGAAGACTTCTTGCAGGAGGCGGTGTGGAGACTCCTGAGCCGAGACTAAAGGACAACTCAAGAATGGGCCGACCAGCAAAGGAAGAAGCCAGAACAGCCTGGCAAATAGAAATGGCCCTGATGCCACCTCTGATCAGCTGTGGTGGTGGCTGGCTGGCAGAGGAGGTGAAGATTGGAAGCTACTATATACAGGGTGGAGAAGGCTGCACTGGGGCCAGGACACTTGCCCCTGCATCCAGTATTCAGATGGAAACACAGACTTTGCAGTCCCTGAGCCAACAGCCCGCTCCTGGATGTGAGCTGGAGTGTCACCCCCATCATGTGAAGGGGCTTGGGCCAACCAGAGATCCCCGGCCTTCTGCCATGCAGAAGCGTGGGGAGGACTCCGCCAGATGCCCTCAGTCTGCCCCAGGCGCCATGGCACACTGCGTCCCTAGCGTTCCTCCTTCAGAGGGAACCACCAGAGCCGTGACACCTGCCTGGCCTAGCGGAGACCACATCTGCTGGGCTTCCCTTCCCTGCCTCACAGAGACAACCTGTGATGCTCCCATCTGGAGAGTGCAGGGACTGGGGGACCCCCACAGTGTCAGAGGGTTCCCCCACCCCAGGCCCCACCCCCAGCCAGTGCCAAGTAGGCTTCTGGAAGGGGCTGGGGCAGAGCCAGGAAGGATGGAAGAGGGAGGAGAGGAAGGGGTGTGAGGAAGGGCGGCCACACCAGGGATTTCAGGAGGAAGCGGGAAAGAGCTGCCTTCCAGCTGTGGGTGGTGGGGAAGGGAGGCAGAGAAAAACACAGTAAGGGGCAAAAGGAGAAAAAGTAGAAGTCACAGGAAATAGTCAAAAGGTGCCCGCCAGGGTGGCTGGTGGCACTGGGCAGGGCCGGCAGGGGAGGAGACAGTTTGGTGGCAGCTGTCCTGGAAGTGGGCGGAGCCGGGCGAACTGGTGGATTCGGGAGGAGAGGGCAGGGAGGGAGGAAGGTGTGCAGGCAGGTGAGGGACATGGAGGGCAGGGGGGCGGGCCTGAGCGGTCGAGGAGGAAGGGGAGACTGCACCGTCACAGGTGACCCGCAGAAAGTGCAGTGGCCTGAGCACAGCCTGTCCCCAGAGGCCATGCAAGAGCTTGTCGTCCAGAGACAACAGGAGCTGTTCCCACCCACCAGGGAGCCAAGTGCTGCCAGGGTCCTTGCTGCCACCCGGCCTCCAGCGGCCTTTCCGACACCACGCGCCGGGACTCGGCTGTGCCGTCCTTGTTAAGAGCGCCGCTGTCTTATGACCCAGTAAGAAAGGAGGTGAGAAACTAGACAAAGACGTGCCGGCGGTTGCAAGGTGCATCGCGATTGTGGAGAAATGAAGATGCGTGTATCAAAGTCAATCAAATGCGGGTGGAAAGAGGCAAGCTCCTCTGAACACGTGTCGGGGCTGAACGTGTGAAACGCTGCAACCACTAGGAGCAACGGTGTGGCAGGTCCAGCAGGAATTAACTGCGAGCCACCTCACAGCACGGCAGTCCACTGCGGGGCACACTCACAGGTCGGGAGCAGGGGCTCAAGTCAGTGGACATTTGTGCACCGTTGTTCACAGCAGCATTACATGCAATAGCCGAAAGGTAGAAGTAGCCTGGGGTCCACTGATGGATGAACAGATTAGCAGCCTGGGATCCGTCTGGACCGTGGAATATTACTCAGCTTTCAAAAGGAAGGACATTCTGGCAAGTGCTGCCTGGAGGGGCCTCGAAGACACCGTACTGAGTGAAACACGCCAGTCACCAAAGCGCAGTGTGATCCTAGGACTCCCGGAGAGCAGTCAGGTCGGAGACAGGAAGGAGGATGGGGGCTGCCAGGAGCTGGGGGATGGGAAATGAGTTTGTGTTTAATGGGGACAGAGCTTCCATCTGAGAAGATGAAAGCTGGGGAGACGGGCGGTGCTGAGGGGCCCAACCATGGGTCTGCACTTAACGCCAGGGAACTGTACCCTTAGAAACGGTTAAAATGGTACATTTTATATTATGTGCATTTTACAACAAAAGCCCATAAAATAGAAACATGAAGAGTGAAAAGGAGGCTCTGCCGTGAACTGCACAGTAAGGAAGGTGGTTCGGGGCAGAAGGTTTCCTGCAGCTAGTGCCGAGTGGCCTCAGAACCATGGCGCACCTCAGGCCCAGAGGAACTGATGAGCGGGGGCGGGGACAAAGCCATGGTGCTTCTGACTGACAGGCAGAGCAACCTACCAGCAGCGCAGTCCACTGCCGTGTGCTGGACACAATTAGACAGGGTGTGGCACAGCCTGGTGAGAAGGCTCCTGCTCCACGGAACTCAGTACTCAGGGAAGGAGACTGAAGGGTCCCTGTCCTTGCCCTTTGGCACAAAAGTGGCCAGCTAGTTCTGGGGAGTCCCTGGCTCCAGGGCCCACCCTGGCTCTGGCAGTACCTAGTCCATAGCTTGGAGGCACTCCTGGACTTCTCTGCCCTCTGTTACTGTAACTGTAAGACAGAGGTGCCATGCTTTATAAAGGCTGCCAAGGTTGCATCAGAATTTGTGAGAGAAGCTTGCAGGGGAGGCTGTGCAATAAATCATCACCCTGAGCCTGGGTAACCTCCTGAGAGACTGATGCAAGCTTTGGTTCTTACCATGTCCAGAGAATATCCAACTTCCTTTCACAGTCAAAACCATGGGCAGTGACAACCCCTCTCCATTCCTGTACACACAAGATACTATGTATAATTTCTGGGCACCAGGCTGGGTGTAGTGGCACACACCTGTAATCCCAACACTCAGGAGGCTGAGGCAGGAGGATCGCCAAGAGTTCAACTCCAGCCTGAGCTACAAAGTGAGTTCAAGGCCAGCCTGCACCACACTGTGAGACCTTGTCTCAAAAAAACCAAAAAAAATAAATAAATAAATAAAAATTCTGCAGTCTGGGCCTGCAAATGTACCCACAGACAGATGCCCCCACCGAGCCATGAAGCCCAGGGTATGACCTCATCCCTGGCAAGGATCTTAACACTTGTTCTAGGGTGACCATGGCCCCTGGATGGTGTGAGACAGACAAGAGGGAAGATACTGTACCATGGACATAGACTCTTGCTCAGCATATACCCACAGGAAGTGTTTCTCCAGCAAGGATGCATCCATGATCAGTCAGGAAGAAATCCAGCGTGGGAAGAGAACTGATAGTGACACAGGAAGTAGAACCCCTCAAACTGTCAAATAATGAAACCTAAAGCAGTGTCAGAGTATCTTCCCGCCCCACTCCTCTGCTCGCTGATACTCTCCAGACTTCTCTGCAGAAGCTGTTGGCTACTGGGGTGGCCTGGACTCACAGGGCCTAAATGGAAGAGGACATGCAGCTGGGGCTGAGCTCCCTGAGCACAGGAAGTAGATGTGACTCTCCCTGTGTCCTGTGCCTGGCACACTGTCAGTGCTGCAGAAATGCTTGGGAGTAAGTGATGTGTAGAAGACAGAATGGAGACTTAGTCACTCTCTCATTGCTGAGATTCAATACCCAATGCTCACAATTTAAAGGAGAGGTTTATTTTTGGCTCACGGTTCCAGAGGTCTCAGTACATGGTAGGTTGACTCCAAGGCAAGAAGGCATGGTGGAAGGGCCTGGGCACAAGACAGCTGCTTACAGCATGGCAACCAGGAAGCAGAGCAAGAAAGGAGGACCCAAGGATGGAGATGCACCCTTCCAGACCACCCCCAGTGACTGGCTCCTCCTACAAGGTCCTAGCTCCTAACAGCACATTCAGCCATAAGTTCATCAGAGAAGCAATCCACCCAATAGCATAGCACCCCATGAGCCAATCATCTGCCAGTAGCCCTCACCCCAAGTGCATGAGAATTTGGGGGATCATCCAGCTCCAAACCATAACAAATGGAAAAGTATAGGCAGCAATAAGGACCAGAAGAAGTCTGTCCATGTTTAGTATGAGCACAGCCATGACAGCTGTAACTGCATGGTCGTGGTCTGCTCTGAGTTGAGTCTGTGGACACGGAGCCCATGGATATGGACAGCTGACTCTCTCTCAGCTTCTTCTAGGGAAGACCACCAGGCCAAAGCCTGGTGGTCATATTCAGAATCGAGCAAGTGGGCAACATACCATAACAGGGCCAGAAAAGCCAGCCTTCCTCACTAGCAAGAGAAAATCTGAAACATGCAAGCAAGAGTCACGTCACTGGGGCTGCAAAGAGCCTTGAGTAGAAAGTGATCGGAGTTGTGTATGATGTGACACTGGCCACCATGGACCTTGAAGACCTAGAGCGGCTCCCCACACTCTCATCATAGTCACAACCCAGCCAGTCTGGCAGCGGCCCTAAAGAACATGAGGGGGCTGCAAGGGGTGTATGGATGTCTGTCTGTTCCCTTGATTAGGTGATGGTGTCATGGATGTTTGTTCCTAAGGCCACATTCTTCAGATTGTACATATTAAATTCATGAGGTTCTGTGTCAGTTGTACAACAAATAAAATAACATCATTTAAAAAGAATTGGCTGAGATTTTGTGCATATAAACACCCTAATGAAAAAAATCCCAAAGCCTCTGCAAGTAGAGTGGTGCATGCATGACATTTGGAATCAAAGGAATCAAAGTGCAGTATGACCACCCAGAGAAGATCTGACGTCATCAGCGATGGGCCAATGTGGCTGGCATGAAGCTCCACCCTGGGGGTGCAGAATGAGATCCACTCAACAGTGATTAAGGAGGCTGACATGCCAAGTTCACCCGCAGCTATTTACCCCTTTGGTTTGTCCTGAGGCTCAAACACTGTTTCCACACGAGCTTTTGGTATTTCCTCTCTTTTCTGGTTTAACTTCTCTGTGTTAGTCAATTTTCTATCACTGTGATGAAATGCCTGACATAAATCAATTTAGAGGAGGAAAGGCTTATTTTGGCTTACGGTTTTAGGAGGATCAGCCCATGGTAAACCAGTTCTATTGCTGTGAGCTTTAGGTAAGGCAGAAACATCATGGCAGAAGGACATGGAGCAACAAGGCTGATCCCCTCATGGCAACCGGGAGCAGAGAGAGAGAAAGACAGGAAAGAGAGGAAGGGGCCAGAGACCAGATGTAGTCCCCAAGGTCATAACCCATGATCCATTCTCCTCACTAGGCCTCACCTCCTGTTTCCATCACCCCCCAATAAAGCCATCAAATATGATCTCAGCACCAGTGATCCAGTCACTCTCCTAAAGCTCCAAGCAACCAAGTCTTCAGTTCAGGGAGTCTTTGGGGAGCACTTCGTGTCCAAACCAGATTCACCCCAAGTGATTCCCAGCCAGTGTTGAGACCATTTCACTAACACAGGTCATGGTAGTTGACCACGATGCTAAGTCTAGGTATAGGAAAGTTCATAAAAGGAGGGACTGGTCACTGCAGTCAGAGCTGGGGCAAAACTTCTGGCGGAGTCTGTGGCATAGGAAGGAGGGGTGCCACAGAGTGGGACTGAGGGCATTGTGAGGGCTCCACCCACCTTGCTGGTGGGGCCCTGCTTGTGTGGGGAGAGTGCCTCAGCCCAGGAGTGAAGGCACTAGGGAGAAAAAGGGTCTGTTAGGGAGCAAGGCCCATGGGTGTGAACTGAAGTGACTATATATGCAGTTATATATACATAAGCATTATCTCAACTCTTCCTACAGTTCCTCCAAGGAGCAGAGGAGTGGAGGCTGGGAAACCCCCTAAACAAGGAGGAACTGGAAGCTTGGAAAAGTTCCACACTTCCCCCGCACCTTGGCCTCCACTTCCTAAGAGGGAGAAACAAGGTCAAAGCTGTTCTCAGGCAGTGGACCTGCTGCTCTGTGGAGCTGCCTCAGTGCACAAAGAAGGCTGCTTGGAGACAGCAGAGGGTGCACCATTCCTGGTGCAGGAAAACCAGGGATATTGGCCCCCAAGAGGTTCTGGATCCACACCGGAAGGGAGCCAGCCTTGCACAGATTTGGATTGGCTCCACGGGAGCACACAGATCCCTCCAGCCTTCTCTCATGCACTACCACGGCTTCCGTGCATGAAGCAGCTCATTTCCTTGAGAATGTTTTTGTCGTTTTGTCATCATGCAGTTCACAGTGGGCGGCCTGAGAGGCTGCCAGAGGACGGGGTCGGTCGGGTGCGGAAGGAAAGAGACAGACAAGAGAGGCGGCCTCAGCAGGGAGACGTCCTCACAGCTGGCTCCTGGTCTAGTGTGTGACCCAAGCTATCCCCACATCTCCCTGCCTAGGTATAGCTACAACTCAGAAACCCACTGCTCCATGTCCCTTCCTTGGGATTGAGACAGACTCTTTTAGAACATTCCACCAGAACCTTCTAGAACATTCCATCAGAACCTTCTAGAACACTCCATGTGAGCCTTTTCTCCTTGGGAACACAGGTAGAAGCAGTTGTCTGTTGCCCATGGCTACAACAGAAACAGCAGAAGTCCCTATGCAGGGTGGGACTGTCATGACCCAGGAGGATATGGTGACAGACACAGCACCAGCCAGGAGCTGTTAACTCTCTAGTCTCACTCCTGGGTCAGCAGCCAGCTGCCAGCCATTCAGTTAGTCCCGTGATGTCTGCTGTTGCCTCTGCCTACAGTTCAGGGGTAGGATGCCTTATTGCACCCCAGTTTCCTCCAGAAATCAGGTGACTTATATCCTGTCACAGATGCCCTCTCCTACCTGACCAGATGATGACCAGGTCACGCTGGGCTGTTCTGGGGACCCCAGGGCATACCACAGCACATGGCACATTGTAGGTGCTCAAGAAATGTTTGTTGAATGACTGAATGAGTAAAGAAATGGACATTCATTGGACACAGAGGTCATCTGATTCTCACCCTGAAGGTGATCTGATAGAGGGTCCCTGCAGTCATTGTGAGAAGTTGCAAGCCTTCTAGGACCCCGTGATGGCTCTGACAGTATCTGGAGCCCAGAGTGACTTCCCCCATCCCCTGTGTAATGCTCTGCCCCTCATCAGCTTCTACTCAACCTTCCCTTAGTGGCCCCTGGGAGGTGACACTGTGACCCGGGCTCCCACCTTCACTGCTCAGGGTCGGGCCCCTGGCCTCAGGATCACCATGACAGTGGGCTCAGCATCAGAGACCCGTGGGAGAGAGTTTGGGGAAGACATGGACAGAGCAGAGCCTGACACCGTCCAGCCGTGTCCAGCAGCGACAGCAAGGTGGCCAGGGGACATGATGGGGGGAGGCTCTCCCTATAACAAAATTCCAAAGCTGGCACTTGGGACTTCGCTTGATTTAGCTCACGGTTCAGTAGGTGGAGAGTCCAAGATCGCTCAGCCCATGGACACAAGTGTCACCTGACCACCCTCAGCTGAGTTATATGATGGTGGATGCCATCTGAGGAAGATGGGGAGGAGAGACGGAGAGTGTGTGACGGGACAGGAAGCTGGGGCAGCTCTGGTCATCACCACCCGTCCTTGAGAAAACTGACTAGGGTTCCCCATGGGCCACATCCATCCCACAAGAGCAGCTCCGTCGATGAACTATTTCCCTTGCACAAGCACCATTTGAAAGTCCCACTGCCTCTTAATGCCACCAGGTTGGGGATCAAGCTTCCAACTCTTGAACTTTTGGAGGCAAAGCTCTCCCAAATCATAGCACAGGCCATCAACTTGCAACCCAATCAGACACTAGCTAGGACATCAGTGGCCTCCCTGTGCCCCCAGATTGCACTTCAGCCCTGTACATGCTCAGCAGGACCCTGCTTATATGCAGGCATGGCCCTGCAGGAGCCCCTCAGAGGACCCCCCACTGCCCTAGAACATCACCTGGGGAGTTGCACTTAAGATCACAGGGACTTCAGGGACCCTGCTTCTTGGTGAGCCACTGCTTCCTAGGCATTTCCATGCCCCAGGGGGGATGCAAGGATCACATCCCTCTCCATCTTCCTCTCGTTTTTAAGATGAGCCAACTGCCCTTCTCGGTTCAGAACCCCTGTACTCCCAGGACCAAGGAAGAAGCAGCACCAAAGAGCAAGGGCAGGAAGATGCTGCAGCTCATGGACCACAGGAAGAGCCACCCCATCTTCCTCAGCGTCTGGAGGCATCCGCAGGCACAGGCAGTGAGCTGAACTTCCGTGCTCAGGAGGAGTCCAGAAGATTGGTGCAAGGGATGCAAAAGAGCCACAGCTGGCGGGTGGGGGAGTCAGAGCTGCTGTGCAAGGAGGACTTGGTGTCCGTGACTACTGAGCCCACCTCGGTTACTGGCACTGCCTGGGTACCACTCAGTGGAGTTGTGGGACACCCAGGGCACAGTTGGGCGGCAAATGCCAGTTCCCCGGGCACCTGCTGGATTAGGAGGACATCCCAGCAGGAAATAAGTCTAATGCCATGCCAAATCACTGGTGCCCCCATGGCACCCAACAGGCCTGGGACCTGTAGGCAGAGTAACACCCCCTCCAGGGACTATGGTTCTTTCTCCCAGCCAGGTCTCCCTCCTCAAGGTCACCAACAGTCCTGGCCTTTCCATCCCCAAGAGACAATATCACCACGAATCAGAACACTTATCTCCCGGACACTGTTGGGCCTTCTGGCTCTCTTTCTTCCTACAGTGCAACCTGTGGACATGTGTAGAGTGTGTGCTTTGTCTCCTCTTTGCCCCATTAACAGAGGCTGAGAATAACAAATGCACAGAGCAACTGAACTGCAGGGAAAACCAATAAAAGCTTAGGAGCAGGAAGACTAGACCCCCCCCCTCTAATTCTGCCACCAGCTAACACATGTCCTTCAAGAAGCCACTTTACCTTCTTGGGACTTGGTTTCCCATCTGAAAAGTGGACGAGAAGGGACTCTCCAGGTGACAGTTGAACTTCAGTGGCTCTCCAAGAGGAGCCCCTATAATTATCTCCTCCAAGAGGGGCCCCTGGGGCATCGAGAAGTCTTCTGAGTTAGTCTGTTTTTGTTACTGCAACGAAATACCCAAGACTGAAACACTTTACTAAGAAAAGAGGTTTACTTTGGCTCATGGTTCTGGAGGTGAAGGCTGGTGATGGCCTTTGACCTGGCAGGGAATCACGTGGTCACAGATAGGGAACACATGTGTCCCTTCTGGTTTCTCCCTCTTTTTATGGGGCCACCAGGATTCAATCATGGGGCTCTACCCTGACAGCCTCAGCTCATCCTCGTCAGCGCCGGTCAGGGCCCAGCTCTAGATGCCCTCCTCAGAGCAAGTGCCTGTCTCGACACCTCACAACATAGGTTCAATTTCAGCACTTGAAGCCGTGAGGGGCGCTGAAGCATACCAAGGCCGCAGCACCCCAAGCTGGCCCGTGGTGGTCTCTGTACCCTGCCTGTCACTCCCGGCCCGCCCAGGACGCCCAGCACGGGGTGAGCCTCCTGTTCCGCTCTGGGTGAACCAAAGGAGCACAGCCCAGAAACACATGTAACTGCGGAGTCCATGCACCCTGCATCCCACGAAGCCTTGCTAGTGCTCCTGGTCCGGGGTGGGGGAGGTCGCGCCTTGCTACCACTCTCTGAGGAAGGGAAAGCCTTTGATCTCAGCAAGCCGGAGCTCCCAGGCCTTGGCTCTTCCCTCCCTCCCTCCCCTTCCGCAGTGCTGCTGTGCCCTGGGGCCCAGGTGGGCAGAGCAGTGGTGCCACAGTTGGGGGGCAGTGGAAGGATGTGAGGGTCTTTGCTATTCTGTCAGCCTGCTGAAGACTCCCTGAGAGGATGCTTGGAGTCTGCAGACCCGGAAAGCCCCAGGGATCCCCATGGACCGATCCATCCCGGTGAACACGTTTGACTGTCCCCAGAGAATGGGCATCCTCCGCCATCCCTGGATGATGGGACTCCGGCCCTGTCTGGCTCTCTGCCACTCATCCGTCACCTACTCAAGGACCCTGCGACTCTGCAGGTGGCCTGCTGCACAAGACTCTGTGCTGTTTGGATGGAGGTAAATCTCTTCAGTTTCCTCATCTGCAAAAGGAGTTACTTGCCCTCAAAGATGCTGTGAGTCCTGCCACTGCTCACTCCTTCTGTGTCTATGGCAAGGGCTGCAGGACGCCAATGTCTCTGCTCTTTGGGGGCAGGAGATTTGTGCTGCGTCAGCACAGAGAAGTCTACAGGACGCAGGGGGCCAGCCTCTTTGGGGTCAGCCCACCCGCACAAGGTCCCAGCGCTGCCATTCAGCACCACAGAAGCCTGGGTGAGTGAATTCACTCCCTGGGCGCCAGGCCACCTGGCTGGGGGTGTGGTAGGATGGAGGAGCCTCCTTGACTCCTCCCACTCAGATCACAAGCAGCCTGGCTTCCCCGCGCCCGGCCTGGATGAAAGGCTTGGGGCCACAGGAAGGACTGCTGTTTCTAGGCTCTGGCTTCCTCCTTTTGTCTCCAGCGTTATAAACAAGCCTATTCCCCAAAGCCGCATCTGATAATCCAGCTGTAGGGGGTCAGAGGTCAGGCAATCAGAAACACACTCACCTAGGATCAGGGAACGGAGCCGGCCCAATGCCCATGGTGGGTTGGAACCTACTCCTCACACTCTGCTGAGGCTGTCTGGACTCGGATGGCTCCTGGGTGGAGCTGGAACAAGCAGGATGAGGGAGAGCCGGTCCACAGGGCTCCCTGAGACAGCTCCCAAGCCTGGACCAGCCTTAGACTCCTGGATCTGAGGTGAAGACAGTAGGGTGCTCTGTGGGATTGCTCTTTGCAGCCTACGAAGCACCAGCCCCCTTCTTTCAGCTGTCCCTGCAAGCACCTCTGAGGGAGAGGGACAGGCAGCCCTTAGGTAAAATAATCGTGAGGCCAGGCATGGTGGCGCAGTCCTGTAATCCTCGCACTCAGGGAGGGTGAGGCAGGAGGATCACAAGTTTAAACCCTGCTTGGGCAACTTAGCAACCTAGCAAGTTTCAAAGAACAAAATATTTTAAAGAAGGTGCTGAGGATATGGTTCAATGGAAAGGCCCTGGGTTCAATCCCTGGTACTGAAAACAAAAAGAAAACCAAGAAAAACGAACATGAGGCCAAGAGGTGAGAAAGGCCGCTGGCCAGCGGGCTGGGTGACGGGACTGAGCCTTGCTGGGCAGCTCCCCCAGCCTTGTCCCTCTCAGCAGAGCCTGGGACACCCAGCCCTCCAGGGTCAGCCTCTGATCTTGAGGGACAGGGCCCTGGGTCCCAGAGTCAAGCACGTGGTCCTCTGCTATTTGCCTACTGCCCCCACATCAAGCCAACTGGGCCCCAAATATAAGGACACCTACTGTGTGCACAACGTTATAGAGAGGCCAGAGAACTCCTCTAAGCTGCATTAAGTGGAGGGGCAAACTCAGCAATGAAAA